AAATTCGAACAAGAAGCTGGCTGATGCACCATTTAAGGTGGAAATTCGAACAAGAAGCTAATTTCAGCTTCGTGTAAGGTGCTAATGTTAATCTATTATGAATATCTACACGGATTAAGGAATGCTATAATTTACATACAAAGCATTAACCATCATTGAAAATAAATAGCAACTACATAAAGTTAAGATCTCCTGAATAGACTATTAAATGAAATAAGCGTAATATAAAGTTCGAGAAAAGCAATCACATCAACAGGTTCTTTGTGCATCACCAACCACACGGCCATATCTACGCATAAACATCACACAAACAATACGCATCACACAGACATGAGCGTGGATCACTGCGTTCCCTCTGTTATATAATCATATTCCACTTTCTGAGCGCAGTGTTCCTGAAATAGTATAATTTTTGACAGTATCTTTCCTAAACTGTCACTTTGTAATGGTGCTGAATGCGGCATCCCGATATGTATATCTATGTGATTATCGCCCTTAGATCACCAACGAGCATCAGCTGAATGGCTCCCTTTTGGTCAGCTAAGCCAGCTCCTGGTTATTGGGCAGTTTAAGATCCGTACCCAGCCACGGCTATGCATCTGTATATCTAAAACAACTGTATACCTCTTACTTTTAAGAAACCCATCCTTGAAAAATGCTCATTTGAACTTCATTCAAGGGGCATTCTACCGATTTTTCTAAATGTTCGCATTATTCCGTTGTTGCGATGTAAACAAAGCAATTCAGTGTGGTTTGATGTAAAATGGTTCATTGGGTCACAGAAGAAAACGTTATAGACTCTGATTTCTTTACAGTGGCTGTGATGATAGGAACCAGAAGTCACAATGTCTACATTGTAAACATGTCCATTTTATTTAAGTCCAGCGTCAGAACCTGCACGTCTTCTGGGTTTTTTGTATGCAGTATTTGATGATTTCGTGGTAAATCTGAAAAAATACGTTTTTGGGGACTAGTTTGCCTCACAACGACCCTGCTGAAAAAAATCATAGAAGCCATTAAAAGTTTCTGTTGGTGTCCAACAGTCATTAATGGTATTTTGTGTTGTCCTGATGGGTTGATATCCTAGTGTAAAGGATTGTAATGGTTCAACAGGTTTCATCAGGTTTTAATCCTAATGGTTCTGATGTCCTTTTCTCAATCAATCAATCAGTCAATCAATCTTTATTTAAACTTGGAGTGCACTGAGGGAGACCCTCATTTACAATGCAGCCCAGCTACTACAGAAATCAGGGATTGGCCAAAATCTTACATCTTTTTTCTCAAATATATCATAAAACAAATTCTGAGGCATCATACAGAGTATTTGTAACCATTTTCACATTTTTTTTTTAGAGCTTTTTTAATCTACAGATGTCTGGTTCCTATCACCACCATTGTGAACAATTCTGACTGATAGAAGCCTGTAGATGTTGGCCTAAAACATATACTTTATAAAATTTGTTCATGGCAGAAGGGTACATGGCGTTGTAAGATGTAATAGCCCCAATTTAAAACGTAATTTTTCAAATGTAGGATTATTTTATAATTATATGCGTTACATGTGAAAGGCACGTGTAGGTTCACTGGTCATTTGGGTAGTAAATAAAATGGTTATATTTGCATTGTAGACTTTGCCACCCTTTGTTCCTATCACTGCTGGATGTTGGGTTCTGCTCTTCCACCTCAGGAGAGGCCATGATTTCTACTATAAGAAGCATTCTTTATTAACACCAACAAAAAAAAGCATGTGAAAAACAGCTAGTTAGCAGGGAAGGTCACGTCTGGCTAGGCAGCTCTGCTTCATGGTAGACATTTAACCCAACTAACTAAATCCACACCTCCACACAATAAAACACATGCAAAACATACACACACTTAAAAAGAACAACATTAGCAACATCAATTTAATCAATTAAAAGTTCCTTTGATTAAGCTTTGCATAACATGCCTGTAGAGCCCCATCTGCAAACTGGAGCAAGTGGCAGCCACCACAGTATATTTTACATTGCAGCATTTTCATTGTGACTCTTTCAGTAGTGAGCTCTGGTATACAGCTGCCACTGCTTTTTTCCATTTTTAACAACGTATTGTTTAGGCTGCTGCTCATATTCACAGTCAGTGATGTATCTAGGACTTCCAGAAGGCCTACAGTGTTTTTTTTCTCTCACTAACTTTCCAGCACTAATTTACATATTTCATATTATCAGTCAAATGTGAAATGTACTTTCTGCATAAGTAAATGGCTAAGATGTAAACAAAGTCATACAGAGTGGTTTGATGTGACATTGTTCTATAGCATGATTCATAGAATTGTTTACAGTGGTGGTGATAGGAATCAGACGACCAAAGCCTTCAATATCTCTACTATCTCATAGAAAGCCATTACACAAAATGGTTATGCATACATTTCTGGATGTCTGACATATTGTTTTATGTTAGTTTTGAGATAAGCTTTAGGATAAGACAGGTTTGAGATAAGGTAGACTTGATGTATTTTTTACTTCTTTCAAGGCGGAGACGTACATGCAGCAACTGCACATGGACATCTTGGATTGGCTCATGTCAGCACCAGCTACACCCTCACTCCGCCATTCATAGGCACACACGCCTGCAGCTTATTTTTGACTTATTTACTTCAATATATTTTTCCCATTGTTTGGTTTGCTGTATGCAAAGTCTTGTCATATTACTCCATACAGTAGGTTTCCTAGCTTTATTCTTATTTTGTATTTTCTGTGTTTTTGACCTTTGCCTTTTGTTCTGGTTCTGGATTTGCGTGGATTGCACCTGGCTGCCTGTGTTTTGATGCCTGCTTTAATGACGAGTGTTGTTGGATTTCCCCTAATAATAAAACACACACACACACATATATATATATATATATATATACACATACATATGCACTATATGGCCAAAAGTATGTGGACACTTGACCATCACACCTATATGAGCTTGTTGGACATCCCATTCCAAAACAATGGGCATTAATATGGACATTGCCCCCCTCCTTAACAGCTATAACAGCTTCTACTCTTCAGGGAAGGATTTCCACAAGATCTTGGAGTGTGTCTGTATGAATTTGTGCCCATTCAGAATAAAAAACCATTTGTAAAGTAAGGTACTGCTGTTGGACGAGAAGGCCTGTCTCATAATTGACAATGTAATTCATCCCAAAGGTGTTCAGTGGGGTCAGGGCTCTGTGCAGGCCACTGGAGATCCTCCACACCAAACCTGTTTATGGGCCTTGTTGTGAGCACATTTAAAGTCACTTCAGTATGACCGATTCTACTTCCAATCTTTGTCTGTAGAAACTGCACAGCTATGCGTTTGATTTTATACACCTGTTAACAATGGGTGTGGGGTGTCCACATACTTTTGACCATATACTGTATATACAACAATCTGCAGGTGTGTGTAAAAAAAGGAAGGGTGGAGACAAGGAGGAGCAGGAGCTGGAATATGCCATTGGCAGGTCCAAATATAGTCTCCCAGAGCGGGGAAATCAGGGTGTGCAACAAGAAAATCATTGGTGTAAATTTACATATTACAACTTCAACACAACGAGTAGAAGCTTTTAAGAGCCATTTAGATGACATATTTTTTGCTTTGTATGTTGTAATTTACAGTGACTGCTTCATTCAAATATTTGAACTTAAAGCCCGTCTCTGAGTATTACTGGTACAGCCTATAGCTTGTTAGCAGCCTGCTGACCAGGTCATCCATTTAGTGTTCATGCTGTAGTTTCCACAAAAATGAAACACTGTAGTAAAATATAGCATGACCATTCTATTAGCTAGTGATCGTTGTTAGGTTTCCTATGTTTTGGCCCTGTCTGATCAGCATAATGCGCATGTGCTTCGTTACTATGGACAACCAATATAAATGTGCAAGCAAATGTGACTATAATCTGACTGTACAAATCAGATTTGGTCACTTGTGACTTGAAATCTGAACAATCAGCCTAAAAAGTCAGATACAAGAAACAAATCCGATTTGCTCCGCAGTGTGCACAAAGCCTGGGTTTACATTAAACCACTCTGAATGACTGAATTATGCAGACATTTTGAAAAAGAATTCCCCTTTGAAAAGGGTCTTTTTTGAGCAGTCCCATACAAGGACCACTTATGATACCCTGAAGCAATGTTTCTCAGCCATGGTCCTGGAGGCCCACCGTCCTGCACGTTTTAGTGCTTTCCCTGCTTTAACCCTCTACTGCACGCATAATGAGAGCAATTAAATAATATTCAATTCACTTTTCTAGCATAAAGTGGTCCTTGGTTTATTTTTTTGGACCCGATTATTACATTTCAAAACATTTTTAAAAATGTGTATGGGGACCTTTTGGAGTATGTGCAACAATGGGAAGAAATTATATACAGCCATGTTCCCTGAAGTGGTGTGACCTCGCTTGTGACTGGCTAAATCCGTTCCACTGTTGCACAGTGTTGCTTCTAGACAACAAACATATTTCTGCAAATTCTCATAACAAAAAATTGAAACCGAATGTTAAAAAAGAGGTTTAAATGTGCCCAATAAGAGATAGTGTGACCAAGTACATGCATTTTATTGACTTACTCAAACTTCTCCCTTTATTGTTAACTCTAAGTATAATGTATAATAATATATATAATGTTATTGTAAAGTGAGGAAAATGAGTTTGTTGCCCTGAGGCAACATCATGCAATAGAGGGTTAACACACTTACTTTAACCCAATAATGGGCTGTTAATGAGCTGGATCAGGTATGTGGGGAGCAGGGAAAAAACACAAAAAAGTGCAGGGCAGTGGGCCTCCAGCGTTTAGAAACAATGCCCTAAAGAACATTTAGGGTTGATAGTTCTTTAAAAAACCCAACTGAAAGATTATTTAAGGAACCAAGTTGTTTTTCTCTGGTATCACGCCAAAAGAATGTTGTTTGGCACTGTTATTTATGAGTATATAGTGGCATAAATTACACACAGAAACTATGTGACATAGAATGGGGCGGTCAATGTAGCCATGTAGTTTTTACACCCATTTTATTACTTATGCTTGAATTACAAAAGTAAGTCTGAAAAGTCTCATAAGTAAAGACTAAAATGCCATCCTTGGAAAGCAGTTAGAAAATATTTGGTTTCTGTCTGTGTGTCCATCTATGTGAGCACTATAATTCTTCTTTGGCTGCTGCTTTCTGTGCGTCCAGATATTTCTTCCTTTCTACCTCTTCCTACAAGATGAAACAGAGGCATGTTTAAAGCATACATTTTAATAAAATGCACTGTGAAAATAAATCAGATCAATTCTGAAAGAGAAATAGAGACAGAAGGTGAGAAATAGCTGACCTCAGCTTTGTCCACCTTGGCACGCTCGCTTTCTGCATTCACAAACTCAACTATTGGTTTCAGCTTCCTTTCGCCAGAGTATGACACTACCTAGCACACATTTACACAAGACAATAAGCAAAAGATGCCACTCCACTACAAACGTCATACTCTATAAAATCAGACCATGATCTAGACTGTGACACTTTTCAAACTCATTACAACTTATGTTATAACTAGTGGAATTCTTCAGAATAGGACGTTAAATTGTAATTGATCATTTATTGGTGAATGAATACTTCTCACCCTTTCGGCGTAGACTGCAGGAAACATTTTAATGGTTGGGTATCTGTCTGCCATTCGAAGGTTTACATCATTTGCAGTTATATCGATTCTAGCAACAACCACTTCTTCATTGTCACTGAAGTATTCTGCAAGCTCTTCCCACAAAGGAAAGAGCGCTCGGCACTCTGGGCTCCATGGAGCGTCTGGAAAAAGACAGTTGTGTTTTTTAAATATTAGGAATCGCAGTACAACAGGTTGTGTGCAAACTTGATCTGACAAAGTTGATTCCAGTAAATGCTAGAGGTTCTTAAATACTATTCTACTAACCCAATTTCAAAAAGAGTAGGGACAGTAGGTAAAATGCAAATAAAAATAGAAAGCGGTGATTTATAAATTTACTTTGACCTGCATTTGAATAAAAACAGTACAAGGAGAAGATGTTTTACTTTGTCAACTTTACCGTTTTTGCACAGCACTGCATTAAAAACCAGCATGCTTCTGTGATGGATTTCACCACATGGGCTTGAGAATACTTTGACAAACAATTGTCAATATACTCCCTCCAGTACAGTTAAAACTGTACTATGCACAGTGGACGTCATATGTCAACAGTGCCCAGAAACGTTGCCAACTTCTGTGGACTCAAACTTAACTGAAACGGTCTGATGTACAGCAGAAACATGTTTTGTGGTTTTAACCTTTCAGATTGTGTATGGAAATAATAAATATCATGTTCCCTGTGCCAAAGAAGAAAAAAGCATTCATATTGTTACTAGTATATGTTCAAAAGCCAGGGTCTGTCATGTTCTGGGGGTATTAGTGGGTAACTTGCACAAGTGAAGGCACCAAACACATTTTAGAGCAACATATGCTGCCTTCTAGATGCCATCTTTTCCAGGCACATTCATGCTTATTTTAACATGACAACTTGCTGTGTGATCAGACCGCGCAGGTCCTAGAGTGGCCTTCCTGCAGTTCAGACCTATGTCCCACTGAAAATTGGCAAAAAAAATCTGCTTTCAAAACAGGATTTTTTCGCGACTTCAGTCCTCAAATGATTATTCAGTGTTATTAAAAGGAAAGGTGATGTAACACAGTGGTAAACACACTCCTGTGCCAACTTTTTTTTTAGATTGTGTTGCAGGCACCAAATTTGGAATGTGCATATATTTCCCGAAAAACATACGTCCATAAGATAAAACATCAAATATGGTGCTTTTGTACTGTTTTCAATGTAATACAAGTCAAACTGAATTTACTAATCACTGCTTTCTGTTCTTATAAGCATTTCACACATTTTCCCAATTTTTTGGAATTTAGGTTGTACACTATTAAAATAAAGGTGCTAAAGAAGTTTTTTGGAGTGGTGGCACAGAGGAACCACTGTGGTTTCTCTTGAGAAACAATCAAAGGATTGTTCTGTAAAGAGCCATTTTTATAAATGAGACTTTTTAAAGTTTACAGAATAGAACATAATGCAGAGGGTTCTATATCAATTTAAGGTTTTTTTGCAAAAGTCCGAGACCACCCATCATTAATTTCATTTCCAGTCAAATGCTAGAATGCTATGGGTCTGAAAGGATGTACTGATGTCAAGAAGCTGTTACAGAGAGAGGAAAATAGACAAAAAGAAAAAAATTGTAAATCAAACAAGAAAGCTGCTGGTGTTTTTAGAATAATGGACTGTCCACCCTGGAGTCCAGACCTCAACGTAACTAAATACGTTTGGGATCATTTGGATTACGAGAAGAAGAAAATGCAACCAACTTCTAAGACTGAACTTTAGAGGTGTGGAAAAATATCCCTGCAGATTTCTTAGTAAAACTAAAAGTGTGTGTCTTAAAAGAACAGAAGCTGTAACAAAAGCAAAGGAGGACATAATAAATACTGTAAAATCTGATATTATATCTAGTTGCACTTTTGTGCAATTTTCAGTTAAATGTATGTTACAGAAGCATGGAAATTAAACATATGAAGGGTGGTCTCTAACTAAGAAATGAGCGAGCACCTACAGAACAGGATTAAGACATTCTTGTTGTGGTTGAAAGCGACCCTCTCAAAGTTTATTCCCACCAGCTCCTTCACTGGCTGCTTGTCCCAACCATCAGGGATTGGCTCACTCTGTAGCTTTGGCTATACAACATACAGATGTACACACATATACAGACACACAGACACAGACAAGCACATCATCAACATGTGTACTATCCTGATTGGAACAGCATGAAAAATCATGAAGATCAACTGATAGACATTTTGTGTTTCAGGTTACTGTGTGTCACCTTAATATTACCTCAACTCACCTTAGCATTCCCTTGTAGATAACTTTCACAAAAGTTAGTAAAGGTTTGTACATCCAGGAGATCTGAGGGTAACTGATATTGGAAGTTGTTTGTCAAGTTAACCATGCGCACCAGAGGTGCATCTTCCTTCCTCACACGGAAGTACTCCATGATCCGTCCATTTCGGGGCTCCCCCGTGTCAATCAGCACAAAGAGAACCTACATCAAATACTTCATTAATATACTTTAATTAAAGAAATAAAGATGTAAAAGATCTCTGCTGAGATATGACATTACAGTCGTATGCGAAAGTTTGCGCACCCTGGTCAAATTACATTTTGTGAGTTCAGACCATGCCTTCAACATGTGGTGGTGGTATGAGGGAAGACTGATGGAGGGAGGAAAGAACTCTGAGAACTTGGGCTGGAGGTCTGGGCAGCTTCTGCCTGTAGCTAGAAGGCCAGATCCCCCTCATAGTTGTTTTAGGACTGATGTGGGAAGGAGGAACAGGGAGGAGATGGGGTGGTGGTGGGGACTGCGAACCAGTCGTCACGAGAACAGAAGGTGAGGACGTGAATTTATAGGGGCGATAGATTGAAGAAAGAGGGGTTTCAGGCATGCTCCTCTCCCAAACTTCAGTTATAACATTTTATATTTTAGGTTTTTTCCAATATGTTAACATTCAGCAAATACCTAGATATTGTGCACTTAAATTGGCATTTCACTGTATTCCCTACAGAGGATGTGCTAACTTATTTTTTCACTTAGAAACTACAAATAATGAAGTTTACTCGATATTGTTAAAGATTTTTGAGCAGTGATAGACAATTTTATTAGAAGTAAATTAGAGTAGATTTAATGTGTAATAGCATATAATGTTTCGGTAAACTGCTTACTAATGAAATAGAAAATGCCATCGATGAATCTATTCAACAGTGTATCTGTACCTTTCCTCTGAACTCTTTGGCGGTGCTTTTGAAGGCACGATGTATTTGTCTAAATCCTTTCTCGGCCTTGTCAATAAACAGAACCAAGTGATTCTGCACCACAGAGTTCAGGATCTTGGATGATGTCTGGAAGCAAAGAGAGACATATGCGAAGCAAGATTAAGGAAACTGTAATTTTGTTTTTAAATACTGTATCTGTTCAGAGAGAAATCTAGGAACAACTTAAGTAGCAGTACCTTGCCATTATATTCTGTCACTAGAGGCATCTCATGGATTCTGATGAAATGAATGACATCTTCTTTCACTGTTGTGCTTGCCATCTCAATTTTTTCTGCTATTTTTGACTAGGACAAAATACATGTATATTAAAGGTACACGAGGCACAGATTACCAGCCCACACAGTAAATCTTTAGCCTGTAGCAAATATCTGTCTTGTTCTTTGAGCAATGCCCATCACTTTTAAAAAATGTTTCGTTGGCTCTTCAGCAAGGGCAATGGTTCCCTGTAGAACCAAAAGCACTCAAAGAACCATTTTAATGCACAAATGGTTCTTAGCATGGTTAAATGGTTCTTTTCTGATGGAAAACCAGTTGTTATGAATTAAAGAACCTTTTTTCAGCACTATACAGAATGCTTTTTCTTCGCTAAATAAATCATGTTTGATGAAGAAATTTGTGCATGTGAAGAACCTTTTAAAAGTTCAAAGACCCTTCACATAATGTAAAGGTTCTTTACCAATTGAATGGTCCTTTCTAGATCCACATTATGTGGATGGCCTATCATCACATTCTCACATCTCATTTGCAATAACTATTCTCCAAAAATCATTCAGTGACAGCTTCTTTAGGGAACCCAAATTGGCATTGCACACAAACCTTTTGTGGTACCTTTATTTTTAAGAATGTGGAAAGTGGAAACTGATTACTTATAAGCCAACACATGCAAAGTACACCGATCAGGCATAACATTATGACATTATGATCTTTGTTTCTACGCTCATTGTCCATTTTATCAGCTCCACTTACTGTATAGGTGCACTTTGTAGTTCTACAATTACAGACTGTAGTCCATCTGTTTCTCTGCATACTTAGTTAGCCCCCTTTTACCCTTTTCTTCAGTGGTCAGGACCCCCATGGACCCTCACAGAGCAGGTACTATTTGGGTGGTGGATCATTCTCAGCACTGCAGTAACACTGACATGGTGGTGGTGTGTTAGTGTGTGTTGTGCTGGTCTGAGTGGATCAGACACAGCAGTGCTGCTGGAGTTTTAAACACCTCAGTGTCACTGCTGGACTGAGAATAGTCCATCAACCCAAAATATCCAGCCAACAGCGTCCTGTGGGCAGCGTCCTGTGACCGCTGATGAAGGACTAGAGGATGACCAACACAAACTGTGCTGACACACATGAGGTGCTGTCTCTGACTTTACATCTACAAGGTGGACCAACAAGGTAATAGAGTGGACAGTGAGTGGACACAGTGTTTAAAAACTCCAGCAGCACTGCTGTGCCTGATCCACTCATACCAGCACAACACACACTAACACATCACCACCACGTCAGTGTTACTGCAGTGCTGAGAATGATCCACCACCCAAATACTACCTGCTCTGTTAGGGTCCATGGGGGTCCTGACAAAGTATGCAGAGAAACAGATGGACTACAGTCTGTAATTGTAGAACTACAAAGTGCACCTATATAGTAAGTGGGGCTGATAAAATGGACAATGAGTGTAGAAACAAGTAGGTGGTCATAATGTTATGCCTGATCAGTGTATATCAACAATAACATTTTGAGAATATGCTAATTCTGATTTTCGTTAACCGTACAGTAGACGTCTTCAGTTTTTTACCTTTCTGAGAAGCAGAACCGAGTCATCAGTCATGTCATATTTGCTGAAGATCTCCTTCCTTTGTGTTACACCAAAAGGCAGGTCAGCAACATCAGCTGCCACATCATAAAATACTTTTACCACCCCTTCCTCGACATCCTAATAAACACACAGACAGAAACAAGGATCTATAAGCACAAAGTTTGTAGACACTTTCTCACCCAATGTAACAGCCTCTATTCTTCTGGGAAGACTTTACACTAGATGTTGGAAGATTACTGTGAGGATTTCATTGCGATTATCGACAGTCAGGTACTGAGGTGAGGTCAGGTACTTATACTAGGTTAGTTCTGAATCACAAATGTCAGTCTCACTCCTTCCAAAGTTACTGGATGGTGTTCTAGTTCTTCAGAGAACACAGTTACACTGCTCCACAGCCTAGTGCTGAGGACTTTATAACTCTCTTGCTGACAGTTGGCAATGGCCATGCTGGCTCATGTACAGTTGCTCCTGAGCTTCCCATTCTACTAGCAGTGCTTTTCTATGGAGATTAGACATGGTGTGCTTAACTGAATGCCTGTGTAAGTATGGCTGAACCTGAAGGTAGATAAGTTCTTAATAGGAAGAGATATCTGGATTACTTTGGACATATAATGTACTTCAGCATGTGTAAAAGATCCCACCTTAAATAATCCAAGAACAACCAGATCATCTTCTGCAATAAAGGTCTCTAACTGGTCGAGATCACTGATGAGGTCAGCGCTAGGGCCTGTTCTCCTCTTAAGCCATGTTATGATGGAGGTGGAGCTCTTCAGAACTAGAGCAAAAAACAGCATATATACTCAGCCAGTGTTTGTTAGAATTATTGGGTTAATAACAAATGGAGTTAAGCAATAGAACAATGGAGGACAGGGGAAGGCCCTCCTCCTTCGAGTCTAACATCCCTGTGTTGAAAGCAAGGTCCAAACTCACAAATATATATTATTTGCAGTATTACAGTTATTACACATTATATCTTATGATTTTTTGCTTGTAGCTAAAAGGACGGAGTCTTGGGTCTCCTAGGATTTTACTCACCCAGGCTATTGAATTGTCTACTACTATTACTAGCAAATCAAGGCAATTGGACTCACGGATCTTTCACCACATGTTCAAGAAGCTTTAGCAGTTTTTCAAACTGACAAAGCAACCTGGATGAGTGGCAAAAGGTTTCTACCACCAATTTGAGACCCTTTCCAGGTCAGAGTGAGGCTGCATGTGAGACATTGTGGTTGCACAGCTTTGGAGACTTGGTGAACCCAAGATGCCATCAACATTAAGATCTTTGGAGAACTTCTTGCCTCTAAAACCTCAAATGTTTATTGGAAATTATTACTATTTTACTAATTTGAACATCTTATTTCCCTAATAGCTAATATTCAAAGATAATAGTAATATAGAGCAGCATGTGTTTTACTTAATGATTAGAATCATAATGCTTATGAAATAGAAAGGCTGACCACAGATGAGATCCTAAATACATAGATCTCAAAGATCTCATATATTTAAAAATAGATTTGGAAGTATTTGAAAATTACATTTTAAGTATTTCTTCATGAAGAAGTCTGGATCTTCAAGTATTCTTTAGTAAAGGCAATGAACACTCAAATAACTATGAATGCACTAACAGTTCTTTGCATGGTTAATTGTTCTTCTCTATGACGGAAAAACAATTACAAGTTCTATAAAGCACCAAAACGGGTTCCACCATAGTACAGTATAGATCCTTTTTTGCTAAGAGTGTAGAAGAACCATTTTGCTTCCCCAAAAAACCATGTTTGATAAAGAGGTCAGTGCATGTTAAGAACATTTTGAAGGTGCAGTGTGTAAGATTTAGTGGCAGATTGCAACCAACCGAATACCGCTTCTTCACCCCTCCCTTTAGCGTGTAGCAGTAGAGCCTATGGTGGCCACGCTTCTTTGACAACAAGGATTCACCCTCCCTCACTTTTTCTTGCACTAAATAATAACTATGATCCTTTATTTGTCAAAGTTTGGGTTCTCAAACTTCTCACAACACAAAATGCTTAGTCAGCACTGGCAGCCGCTTCAGTGTAGAATGCAAAAGGCGCTTTCCAGTGCCAGTGTTTGGCTCGTCCATTCTGGGCTATTGTAGAATCATGGTGGGACATGTTGGACGAGGACCCACTTCTATGTAGATATGAAAGGCTCATTCTAAGCTAATGAAAAAATGATTCATAGCCCATGTGTCAGGATCCAGTCCTTGTGGGCCAAAACACTGCCGATTTCAGTACATTGCCTCATTAAACACATCTGATTCAGCTCATCAGCTAATTAGTAAAGCCCATCATGAACTGAATTCAGAACGTTAGATGAGGGTGGATGTTAATCTCTGCAGCACTTTGGCCTGATTTATAGTTACAGGTTAGTATACACTGATGAAAACATGGTTTTGTACAATATGTTCCACTTTATATTCCATAACTTTCAACCTTGAAAAGGTTCTTCATATTCAGACATCAGATCTCAAAGATTTCATAGATTTAAAAAAGAAATAGATCTGGATCTGTATGGATTAAACGTTTTTTCATTGAGAATTTTTTTCTTTCAATACTTCCTTTCATTCTTCTTTTTACACAAAAAAAACACTTTCTTTCTGAAACTAATTCTGCACAATCACATCTCCAAAATGATCTAATCTAATGTCTGATCACTGTACAATTACATGAGTAAAATATTCTGTCATGATACCTGGACAGTAAACAGGGTTGTACTTGTCACCAGACAAATAGAGTCTTAAAGATGGCACGGCGGTAACGTTTAAGGTCTTGGCAAGGTCCTTCTGTTTGGCCACATCAACTCCTCCCAGTTTCAAATCAGACTCAGCTTCCTTCAGCTCACTGGCTGCTTTTGCAAATTCCAAGATTGAACCAAGAGAATCTCCAGAGAGAGGAGCATCTATAAAAACGCAAATACAAAGCTTGATCAGAACATATTGAAAAAAACCAAGGCATCACATTATCAGATAATCTATGTATACCTATTTAGGCCATCCCTTAAACCTAAGCCTAGACTGAACAGAATTTTTTAGGTAGGTCTCCTGGAGAGGGATTAAGCCTAGTCCTGGACTGCATAGCATTCTGAATGGAGAGTGTCAATTAAAGGGAATATGTAGTCCAGGACTAGGCTTAATCCTTGTAAAGGAAGCCAGCTCTTAATGGTGAAATCTATTAGCATTGGATTTTAGTCCAAGACTAAATTTAATCCCTGTCCAGAAAACAAAACCCCAACATTCCTCTAATCCTGTCATTAAGCCTAACATTAATCTCATTATCGGATTAATGAGACACTCCACAAAGAGTCTCCACAACCAGTCAAAACACAAACATATCTATTAAACCGGAATATAGCACTGCTGCTCAGTCTGATCAAGCTGAAGCCCCTTTGTTTGAATTACAACATACATGCTTGCACTAAAACTATACCAACTAAATGCAGGTACAAAACACACTGCATAAAAACTCATGTATACTCACAGAAGTGCACCAGTAACTGACTATGTTGTTTAAGAGCTCGGTTGAAGTTGCTTTCGGTCAGCACCAGCACATCTTTATCTTCTTGGATTGGCTCCGCGTCTGTGTCAGACAATATTCCACACACGCACGCACTTAGCAAGACGTACACAAGATACACCTGCACAGGCTTCATGCTGTCTTGTGCGGCACTGATCTCAGAGGCCTGGCGACCTTTAGAGTGTGAAAGTGCTGCTTGAGAAGGCGTGCATGTTTAATGACCCTCTGTAGTAACTGATATCTGTGTGTACTTTGGTAATGGACTGCTTACAACCAATAGGAGGGGAGAGAATGAGGTAGATGGAAGTCGTGGCACCAGCACAGAGGAGTGAGAGGGTGACCTTATGAAGAAAACGGCTCAGTTTTATCTTTTGACCCAGTATGATTTTGTTCATATGAGATATGGGCTACTTTGAAGATTTAAAGGGCCCATATCCTACATTGTACTTGCATTTTATTATTTTTTTTCTGTGGTTTTGTGTATCAACAGGGCATTATACATTTTTTCCTGACCATGTTCTAACCTATTCTTGTAACCGAACAGATTGGTATATGCAAATTTTGAATAACTGTCTTGTATTATGACTCGTTCCAAAGGCAGTCTGAGCTGAAACCCTCCTTATAACTTCAGTGTGAATGGGTGGAGCTAACCTGCTGTATGCTAAACAGGTGGAATATATGTAAGTGCAGTTTTTGGTGATGTTGCAAAAACTAAAGTTCCAAAATGAGGTATTTTGCAGCTTAATTTTCATACATGACTGTGCGGACAGGAGATGTTTTGAATTTCTCACCGGCGAAGGACACATTTCTAAGCCGCATCCTACAAAACGGGACAGCCTTCAGCAATTTAATGGTCAAGAAATGCAGCCTTCCTCAGCTACATCCTTAGCTTGGAGGCACGGCTAGGGACGTTTAGTTAAACAGATTCAAGCAGAACATGCTTTTTGTTGCCTTCTCGTATATTTAGAGCATCGCCACCTGTGAATTCTTACAGCAATTGGACAGATATTCACAGAATTTTCTCTGAAGACTGTTGGTGCGTCTGATATTGCACCATTTTAAAGCAAATAAACTGACAGCAACATACAGCCTCCATACAGTGGGGCTGGTTGTAAGTTGTGCTAGCTGTTAGCTGTACTTTGTATCGAAAACAAACTTGCCACATTTGACACTGCATTTGCTTTAATCATATTTATTACACATTTATGTGTTCATATAGGAGCTTTATAGAATTATAGTGGATTGTGTTTATGTGTCACTATCTTGAGGCTACTAAATGTAGTCAAACAGCAGATGAAACACCTTTAGCTTAGCACAGTTAAGAGGACGTGCTAGAAAACCATCATAGCATAGGTCACCAGCAAAACCAGTATATGTTGTGTTTTGGATGGTGGTATGTTGGTTAGTCACCGCTGAAAGCATATTACTATTCAAAAAAAGGCCTTAAGGGAGAAGACAAAATGTTCCAGGAAGCTTACAGGGGAATTCCACCAATTTTTCTAAATTTCTGTACAATTCAGTCATTCAGATGTAAACAAAGTCATTCAGGGTCGTTCATAGTGAAATGATTAATTGTAATAATAATAATAATAATAATAATAGTAATAATTTTTATTTATATAGCACTTTTCATGCCAGTAGCAGCTCAAAGTGCTTTACCCACAGGTGATGAAGCTTAACAGTACTACAAGAAATTATTATTAATTTACAATCATATAAGAAAGGAATCATTGTAGTACTTGCCAACTAAGATTTCTTTACAGTGGTGGTGATAGGAACCAGGGGTCACATTGTCCAAAGTGCAACCATTACTATCCAAAATGGCCAGTGAACCTACACATCTTAAGTTTTTTATATATAATGTTGATGAAGGTGAAATAGTGGTAACCCTGAAAAAAGTTTTCTTTGATGACTATTTTGCTATTTTTGGGGACTATTTTATCTATTTTCATATTTATTTTTTTATTTAAAAAAAAAAAAAAAATTTAAAAAAGACTTTTATCTCTCACCATGTACCCCTCACAATGAATGGCTTTTAAAATGTATGTTTTAAGCCAAATCCTTACCTCAAAACCTTTGGAAAGCAAACTGTCAGACCAGAGTAGGTTTATGAGGAGCCTGGCCTTTTCCTATTTCCCCTGTTATTTGAAAAAAACAGGACTGCAAAACAGCAGAGGGTGGCCATGAGTGAGTCCTCAATGAATGGGAATAAATGGAGCTAAATGACTAAAAACAAAAAGTTACAATAGTTTCTAATCACTCACCCAGAACTTTCTGGCCACGTAAGGCATGGGAATGAGATTAAGTAATGGCCATGACTTAGTAAAGCGTGGGAACGAGATCCTAGTGCGTGGCCATGACTTAAGCCGTGATCTCGTTCCCATGCCTTACTGAGTCATGGCCACGCAATAGGATCTCGTTCCCACGCGTTAATAAGTCGTGGCCACGCATTATTTTTATTTATATAGGATGTCATCGTCAGTACGGAGCCCCCCAGTGACGTCCTGTAGAAACAAAAATAATGCGTGGCCACGCCTTATTAACGCGTGGGAACGAGATCCTAATGCATGGCCACGACTTAGTAAGGCGTGGGAACGAGATCACGGCTTACTAAGTTGTGGCCACGCATTAGGATCTCGTTCCCACGCTTTACTAAGTCGTGGCCATGCATTAGGATCTCGTTCCCACGCTTTACTAAGTCGTGGCCACGCATTATTTTTATTTATACAGGTCTTCACCAGCGGGGCTCCCTACTGGTCTGTTTTTTCACACACTTTTATCCACAGTCTTTGATGTTCATTCCGACCCCCGTCCAGTTGGTGGCGCTAATGCGCCATTTTGTTGCTCACATTCTGCCGCCTTCGGAGGGAAAGAAGAAAGCGAAGCTGCGCGCGTACCTGTGAGAGGAGAGGTAAACAGCAGGTCAGAGTCTCGTTGTTCTGCATTTGTTTGCGACTTACAGACCAAAATATGTTAGTTTCTCACGCAGTCGCAGACAAACTCTGCTGTAGTGATGTAAAAAATCTTTGTCTAAATCCTCTTCCGTGGGGAGAGTAACGGTAGCCAGTCAGAGTCAGTTTAATGAAGTTGGCTGAAGTTGGGTTAGCTTTGCTAAAGCTTTGAGCGTTTTGTGCTTTTTGAGTTTTGTGGCTGTGACTGAGGTCGTGGTAAGTATGAGTATCAGAGCTGAAATTCACTTTTTTTTCCTGTTTTAAACCTGTGTATGTGTACGGAGACACTAAGGTGGCATGGTGGTTATTTTTAATAAGGTGTGGCCACGAATTAATATATTGTGACCACAGTTTACATTAAGAGGCAAGTTTCTCATAAGCCTCAGTATATTAATTAAAATTCCTATTTTAGTACTTTGTGGCCTTAATACATTAATTAGTGACCTCTATGTAGCAATTATTGGCCTAACCACATTAATTAGTGGCCTCAATATATTAATTAGTGACCTCAGGAAAGTGGTAGGTGGCCTCAATAGATTAATTAGAGGGCTCAGTATATTAATAGGTGGCCTGAATATATCAATTTGTGGCCTCAATAGATGAATTAGTGACCTCAATATAATTAGTGGCCCCAATATAGTAATAGGTGACCTAAGTATTTTGACTTGTGGCCTGAATATATTAATTTGTGGCCTCAATATAGTACAATTTGTGATCTCAGTATAGTAATAGATGGCCTCAATATATTTATTAGAGGCCTCAGTATATTAATTAGTGGCCTTAATATAGTAATGTGGTCTGAATATATTAATTAGTGACCTCGGTATATTGATTAGTGGCCTCAGTATAGTAATAGGTGGCCTGAATATATTCATTTGTGGCCTCAATAGATTAATTAGTGACCTCAATATATTTAGTGGCTTAAATACATTAATTACTGGCCCCAATATAGTAATAGGTGGCCTGAATATTTTAGCTTGTGGCCTCGATATAGTAATTTGTGTTCTCAATATATGAATTAGTAATCTCAGTATAGTAATAGATGGCCTCAATATATTTATTAGAGGCCTCAGCATATTCATTAGTGGCCTTAATATAGTAATGTGGTCTGAATATATTAATTAGTGGCCTCAGTATAGTAATAGGTATCCTGAATGTATTAATTTGTGGCCTCAACATATTAATTAGTGACTTCAGTATAGTAATAGGTGGCCTCAGTATATTAATTAAAAGCCTCAGTATATTAATTCATGGTAGCACTATATTAATTAGTGGTCTCAGTATAGTAAAAGGTGGTCTGAACACATTAAATAGTGGCCTCAATGTATTAATTTGTGGTCTCAATACATTAATTAGTAGCTTCAATGCATCACTTAATTTCAAACCTCAGTATAGTAATAGGTGGCCTGAATATGTGAATTTGTGGCTTTAATATATTATTTTGGGGCCACGCATTACTAAAAAGCAATCACTGTGTCAGGTTAGGGGCTCCATACTACACACCCACAGCCAGCATGAACCGAGAATTGGAGAGGTTTAGAAATGAAGTGCAAGTGAAGAGAGTGTTATTACATTCAGACTGCTGTGGCATAAACAAGTCTCGTCTGTAAAGATGCTCACGCATCAATATTTGAATGTGCAGAACTGTGGGCAGTAGAATCCCAGGTTGCCATGTACTTACCCTGAAGATAACTTTGAAAGCAGGGGGTATATTTCACAAAGCAAAGATAACTCAGCCAAATAACTTACACCCAAAGTCCAGCAGTAAACGACATTCCTGTCTAGCTAACTGCTTTGTGAAGTAGCCCCCAGCATTGTTAACAGCTTCAAACAATTATCTGTAGCACCGTGTCTCGTTATATAAGATGCGTGATGTTAATGCTCTGGAGTTACTATGAAACATCAAAGATGATTCTTGTTAAGTGTCATAAATGGTTCCAATCAAGGTATTTTAATGCTTCAGATTATCAGGTGCAAGCAAGCCTTTTATACACATGAAAAACCGCCACAAGCCCTATAAACATTTCAGAATTAGGCTATGGATTTTGCTAATTAATAAAAATAAATGAGTCATTCTCACAAAAGAGCCTCAAATCATGTGTCAATCATCATGCAGATGAACAATATTTATAAAATTTAATGGATCAGTGGTGGAGCAATAATTCACATTACTGCAATGTTCCACATGTTTCTCACTACCTACACACATTTTTTTTGGAAAAAGGTTTGTATTGAATTCTTTTAATTGTTTCTTTGTAAACTTTAAGGAAGTGAAACAAAATGTTTGCACAGGTTAAAAAAAAAAAAAACACAAAAGCGGCCATTATCCTGCAGTAAAAAGATAAAATTGCAAAATACAGTATTTTGTAGTTTTTTTTTTTTAATAATTAGCTTTATTGTATGTGGACAGCAGTATACAGATTAACAAAAAGAAGGGAAAAAACATGATTCACACATTTGTTTAAATCTTACTGTAGTTATAAGAATTATATAAGAATCAAAACATTGCTAAATGTCACAAGTCACTTTAAATCAAATAAGTTAGGTTTTCATTTAATAATTTAACTAGGGATCATTGTGTATATACCCCAAAAAAGAAAACAGCAAGTTTTCTTGGGTTGGGTCTCAGCATTAGGCATGTTTCTAACTAACCTAAATGTTATATTTCATGGCTTTGAATGATGGCTTTAAAGTTACTTGGCTTCATTTTATATAAGGGGCTTTAAAATCTGTGGTGAAACCAAACACAATTGCTAAAGTACTTTAAGCAGGGATTGTGATTGCTTGGTCCTTAGTTGCAGTCATGAAAGCAGTTCATAGATAGTTGGTGTGTAATTGCTTACCTTTCTCTGTATTGTGTCCCTTATTGTCACTGTTAAAGTTTTAATCACAGAGTATGTGTGCACTGTAGAAATGGTTTGTCAGTTCTGCCTAAAAAAAAGGCTTAGTTTGGTAACAAGCTGTCTTTTTCAACTCAACTAACCAATACAAACTAGTGATTCATTCAAAGTGTGAGTAAAACCGGTTCATTTGCTCGTTACCGTATTAAAATGTAGGTTACAGTTCTTTACAGTGTACACTTTGTTGTGAAGTATGAAGAATGTTAAAGGCACTTAAGCTTTTTGCAGAAGAACACTTTGCAAAATATTCATATTTAACGTTTTGCAACAATAGTAGCCAAAGGCTGAATCAGAATGCATAAGGAACACCAGCAGTTGTGGGTGGAAACCTGGGGATTCGTCTGTCACTAACAAGCCTCATATTTAGTTTGCTATTTTTATTTTTCAGAACATTGACCACAGTCTTCAGCTGTTGGCTCTGTTTAGAGAGGAAATGGAGCTTTTCAGACACCAAGATGACAGTAACCAGCCAGTGAAGATTTCATTAAGATGCTCAGTGACACTAGTGGATTGCCAGAGACTTCTGGAGCGAAAGGGAGTTAAAAAAGATGGTGGATATTTTGTCTATTTGCTGACAGGTAAGCTAACAGCAAAATAAGGTCTACATAGTTTTGTAGATAATTACTCAGGTCAGGTTAGCATAAGTCAGACCTCTGTGCTCTTCTAGTAACAAACTGGCCTGTGTGTCCTCATCAAAGATATTGCTGAGATTGCTTAAACATAAAGCTTTTTAAGTAACTAGTTAAGTCATTTAAGTGATTAAATCCTTTCCCTGGATTGGAGTTGAAAGAACATATGATACATATAGTCTCTCTTGGAACAAAACCTCATATCCCCAGCAAAGGGAAAAATCAATCATTATTTTATAATGGACGTTAATGTAAAAAAAAAAAAATCCTATGTAATCTTGGACCATTTGTGTTAGTCCTGAATTTTTCACCATGTAAAGGCCAGTAACTTTTAGAATTATATAAAAATGTAAAAAATGAAAAAGAAAAAATTAGGTTTTGTTCAGACAGTGATATTTAATGCATATTAGGGCTACACAAAAACAGTGAGTGTGTTTACATGTACTTAATAATCCAATAACTGCAAAAAAATCTGATTCTGTCAGTAATCTTGAGTAAGCAGGTAATGGGGAAACTCCAGGTCTACATGAGCAATCAGATTTCTGCTTTACAACCAGCCAATAAACCACAGAAGAAGATGTGACGTAAACATAACGTAAAACTTCATGCCGTGGCTTTTAAAACAATGCCCCACTTCACCTGAAAATATGAACATGCATCATCTAGAAGATGAAGAACATTAAAAACCTTCATTTTTTCGAGAAGGTGGTTGGTTTCAGCGTCGCTCAAAAAGTGTTCTGCTGTGTCTCACGGCGATGCTGCTTGCTAATTTTTGGTACAGTAGTCAGAGTAAGTAAATCAGAGTAAGAGTCACATGCACTGCGAAATCTGATTACTGAGCTAAAATCCTGCGCTCTTTATCAGATTTCTAGATTGGAGTATGATTTTTACATGACCATTTTAATAATCAGATAAGTGCAGAAATCTGATTACAATGGGATTGAGTGCACGTAAACACTCACTGATGAATTAAGTACCAAAATAGTTTATATTCTGTAATTAGAAATGTTCTAATGCTATGACAATCTCAGCAATTTAGTCAAGATCATAGCAACAAAGGCTGGCAGTAATTTGTGTTAATAAATTATGCTCTATTGTTTTTGATTTTATTCCAACGGTCTCGTACATACAGGAGAAGAAAATTGCCAATGTTCTTTTAATCAAGAAAAGACAAAGGCACAGCCCTGCCCTGATTGCGGAAAGAGATCCAGTCAGATTGATACCATGAGACTTCACCAGACAGTACAAACCGGAGACGAGCCTTATAGCTGTTCTCAGCGTGAGAAGAGCTTCAGTGAAAAAGAGGATTTGCAAGCACACGACAGGACCGATACAAAGACGCTCCATAGCTGTTCTCCAGGTGGGCAAGCAGCACACTTCCCAGCACACCGGGAGGGACTTGAAGTATATAGCTGCTTCATGTGTGGCTTTGAATGTAGAAATTTTGAAGTGTTGGAACAGCACACAAGGAAAGTTCATCACGTTGGTAACATTTACAGCTGTCCAAAATGCAAAGAGAGTTTTGATAGCTTGGCTCTTCTAGCTGAGCATGACGAGATGCAGCACAAGAACAAAGCAGAGCAGTCCTCTTACAAGTGTACGCAGTGTAAGGAAAGTTACAGTGGACTGGAGGATCTTCGAAAACATATGCAGCATCACGAAATCAGCAAGAAAAAAGTACCCAAACCGTTCAAATGTGATCGTTGTGAACTTGGTTTTAGAACCATGAAAGAGCTGGAAAAACATACTCCGACACATGAGAAAAAGAAGTACAAGTGCACCACGTGTGGCGACAGTTTTACAACAGAAGGGCATCGCATCTCTCATCTTCGGGTACATGTTTCTGAAGTGAACTACCACAGCGATAAGATCTTTGGAACAGCATCTACACCGAGAGGTTCCAAGGGCATTTTTCCATGTACAATGTGCCAGAAGACCTTTAGTACTCTAGTTCAGCTCAGAAACCATCAACGCTGTCATTCCACCTAGACCAGGGGTGTGAAACCCAACCACTGAAAGGGCCATGTTAAAAAATTTCAACAAATCCATGGGCCAGCTGTATTTTTTTCCCCATTTTTACTTAACATTTTGCTGTGACCGGAATTGGCCATTGTTTATTCAAAATATGCTAAAACTGCACCAGCAAAATAGGCACTGAATACCTGAACTATTCAAAGATAATTTTAAATAAAAACAAATTGTTTTATATAAAAGAATAGGCTGCATTATCTACAGATAACGGTCAAACTTCTTTAATATCTCCTGGAAATTTTAAAAATGCCTGTTTGCTTGAACTTTACACCAAACATCTTTTATTTTTGTGTAACCATTGACCCATAGATGGGGGTCAGAGTGCACATTATGTTGCAGTGCATGCTGGGAAATGATGAAACGGGCCAGTATTATTAGAAAATTAAAATTAATTTCACAGGCCGAATAGGATTGTAACTTGGCCCGCGGGCCTTGTGTTTGACCATGGGTGTCCAAAGTCTGACCCAGGGCCAAATGCGGCCTGCAAGCAGATTTTATTTGGCCTGTGGCTTCTGTTAAAGAGTGTGTTACTAGTGGCTCACCAGCCAGTACGCTGCACTTCTTCCTTTCATCTGATGGTGGCAGCAGTGATGCAAAATGACAGCGTAACGCACCGCACTGTGGTAATGAAGTTAACTAAAGTTTAAGAGCCTTTCTCCTCTGATTCGGCCTGCAGATTAACATTGAAAACCTGAGATTTTGGCAATCCAACAGTAAAGGAAGCCATGTGCATATGGCGGCCCTCCGTATTTTGCCATGGTACAGTCTGGCCCTCTTTGAAAAAGGTTTGGACACCCCTGACCTCGGGAGACAAACAATTCTGGTTTTTGTATAGGTAGTTGCTGAAGGCACTGATCTAGAAGCAGTGTTCCTTCTTTCTGCTGGTCTGAGTTACCATTTTGTGAAATGTGAACTAAAATACAAAGAACCATTGTGAATTTAAAATTCAAGAAATCTTCTCTTCGCTGTGGCTGTTGTCTGGGAAAGAAAAAGCTACGTTCCAGTCTTTGATTGCAGGCTGCAGCATTTGACAAGCTGTAACTTTGCAAGGCCACTTTCTACTTCTTTTGTTAGAAATCAGTTGGCTCCTGTCAACTCTGAGTGTTAATAAAAGTCATTTTGTGATAAAACAGCCAAATGTTTGGTTATTTTATATTAATGCACTTTTTGATTTTGCAGGCATCACAGATTTCTCAAATAGATTTTTTTTTTATCATGCAGCTGTTAGGTAGACACTCCTTTGTTAGGCTTTTAAATCTCCAATCACAAGAAATCAGTGCACTGTCCTAATCAAAACCAAAGACATTTTCGAGGTGGGCAAAGATTGCTAAACTTTGATCAATTGTAACAGGGAAAAGATTAGTCTTTTACATAATATATTGTGGATTCTGCTTAATGTAACTAGGACATAAACTAATAAGGTAAAAACGGTCCATTTTTATTTTAGGTTGACGTTAAGGAAACAGTGGTGAGGCAAGCTCTGATTTTACTAATAGATCTCATGAGAAATGTGTACATTACTGTCATGTAACATTACATATTAGTTATGGAAGTAAGCTGTTACTTTCATCAGTTTAAATACTTTTTTAAGAAAGGAATCAACTGAATTGGTCATCCAGCATCACCCCTGCCAATTTGTGCATGTCAGGTGTTCTTATCCTTAGCACACTGTTCTGCAATGAATGAGTACTAACAAATTTTGGCTTTATATAATGAGAATGATTAGAATATAGAAAGAGTGATATATTTTCATATGCATACATACATACACACGATCACAAGCATCATGTTTTGAAATTTTCAAATTTCAATCTGGAAAGGTCAGAGTCATGAACCACATGGACCACAAACATTCACACACTGCTGTGTCTGAGGCCCAGAATTTGGTGCTTTGTCCCTGTCAGGAGTCCAAGGGTAACACAATTGGCCTCGCTGTCTCTAGATGGACAGGATGGTCCTCTTTCCCCCACCAATCGCTCAGAGTGATGCTAGCCAATTTGGGCCTCTGTTAGCGAATGTAACAAAAAGCTGACCAAAAGGCTGGGCGATGTCTACCATCGCCAAATTTAATATTATTTAACCTTTTTCTGACCCCGTTTCCCCGCCATAGATGGGAATCAAAGGAACTTCCTTTTCATCTGCATTTATTTCTGGTTCCATGCACTTGAGTTAAACCTAAAGTAAAATAATTAGAAGGTGCAGAGCTGTGTGATAGGAAAAGCTAGCATCACAGTGCATAGCAATCACAGAACTAAGAGGCAACTTAAATCTCTCCCTCTCCTAAACAGAAAGAAATTACAATTGGGGCACATTCTACTTTATAAAGGAACGTGAACTCCAATTTCCCAACATATTTAGCAAGTTGTTTAAATGACAAGTTAGTCCTATCTTGTCCCCCCAACATGGCAATTATTGGCTTTTATGCATCGTCATTAAGTTACTTGTCATTCATCCCTGATATTTGATTGCAACGCCCTATCACCCAGGCCTACTAGTTAATGACATGGTGTTGGGCAGTTGTAAAAGATGCTCTGGCTGGCTTCACACAATTTGGGGAGAGCACAAGTTAGCCTTCACCCTCCTACCACTGGTAGCATCAGCTATAGACGGAATAGGTAATTGCATAGGGTTTCCACATGTTTACTCGGCATCAACAAACTCAGAGTGAAGTGGAATGAATTGTTGTTACTGGATATGCTGGTTGGTTGTCATTAATCATAAAACCAATGTGGCCAAAAGTACTGGCATGCTTCCACTTTAAAAACAAACAAATAAAACAACTTTCAGGAAATAACTTAATCTCTCAGCAAATTTTAAAAACCAAATACTAAAGTTTTAAAAACTATTCTTAAAAACGAAAGCAGCATGGAAAACACTGGGATCCTTACCCTAACATTTTGTAGCACAGCCTTCAGAGACCAGAACTGCAATCAAATACTTTCTGTAGCTCTGATTAAGATTTCTACACTTTTAGACTAGTAGTTTGGCCCACTTCTCTTGAGCAAAATGCTCCAGTCAGTTCTCTCAAGTTTGATGGGTGCCATCTTACAACTGTGTTTGTGCTTAATGCAACACCCCACTCCTTAGGAACCCCTGAGATGATGACAACGATGACCAAAAAAAAAAAATCATTTTAGAGAAAAATTCCAGTTCTTTCCAGATTAGGACTGTTTGCAGGCCACTTCAGATAGTTCAATGTTTTCTTATCAATTCTTGGGAGCTTCTGAAAGTTTGGGTGCTTTTTAAAGTACGTTTTGGGTCATATCCTGCTGGAGGACCCGTGACTAAGACGCAGCTCAGCTTTCTGACACGGGGTATATAGATGAGTTCACCCAGATAATGTAGGGAAAATCCCATTTACAGCCTTACTTCTGTTGACCTGTATTTTGTTGTATTTACTTTACAGGCAAAGTAATAGGGCTAATATGGTCAAACATTGGTCTTCTGGTAAGGACTAGAAGCAACTGCATTCTGGACAAACTGGAAATTGTTTAGGCACCTACTAGAACTTCCATATTGGTGGGAATTACACAGGTCGATCCTGGAGCTGATGAACTAGTTTTTTTTGCACAAGATATTTCTTTAGATGGAGGAAGGCTGTTCTAACAATCTACATGCACACTAAATGAAAAGACCTAAGTCAGTAGTGACATTATTGATTTTATAGCTACACCTAATACAATTGACAAGCCAGCATCTAATTAGATGTCCCAGCAGTCTTTGAACAAAGTAAAACCACCACTGTTTGGTCTTTGTCCTTTACACACAGTCTTCCGTCTTAGGTTGGGATTTATCTTCTGTTCTGGCTGATATAGTTGTCAACATTGCAGTGAAAGCTAATGCTATGTTAACAAATATCCACACACTTTGGCAGCATAGATGAAAACAGCAGTGGCCCTAGAACAGAAATTTGATGTATACCATATTTTACTTTTGAACATGCAGAAAGGTTTTGTCCTTTTATATTTGTAAGCCAATTGAATTTGACAATAGTCTGTCTAGTAGAATACAGTCATGTATGAGCTCTAATACCACATCAAGTAACATGAAACCAAAAAAAAAAAAAAAACACACCACACCAGTTGGACGACAGTAGTAAGATCAGTGTTCAGGAAACAATGTGCACTACTTATGTAGTCAAATTTATGCAACAGCATAATCTGCAGAGACTGAAAGATCACACTGTCCATAATGTTTGCATATTTTATTTATAAACATTACCATCGTATCAGTTTATCAGTCACATTTTGACATACAAAACTACATGCAGTACTGTTACTCCCAAGTTTGTGCTTAATGCAACACCACCCTCCTTAAGAATCCCTGAGACAATAATAATAATAATAATAATAATAATAATAATAATGGCATTTTTAATTTCAGAAAAAAAAAAAAAATCCAAACATCCTTTACATAATCATTCGTACCCACATAAAATAGCCTCTCCCTTGTGGGTTGTTTGTTTCTTCTGTAATGACCTCTAATTGATCTCACATAGTAAAAATAGTTCACTGCCAACTGATCAAAAATGAATGACTACAGCCGAATAGGTCAGGATCTTTCCACATACTCTAATACAAGGTCTTTGGAAAGTACGTGGACTGCTGTTTAAAGCATAATCATCTCATATTAAGTGCTGATATGAAAGAGAAACATTATATATGAGAGATCTCGGGCAAGAGAAAGGAGAGAAAAAAGCCTCAATCTCCAAGTTAAGTGCAGATTTTACAGTAACAACAAAGAAATCAAAAGAGAAACATTTCAGAGATCTCAAGTGAGAGAAAGAAGGAAAAAAGCCTCAGCCTCAAAAGTTCTTAAGTGCAGATTTTACAGTAAGGACCAAAAACTTAATGTCTTCCACTTAAAGGTTATTGTTATTAAAGATTGGTATTATTAAAAGGCACCACTACCACATTCTTGATGCACTGATGGTCCCGAATAGTAGTAATGCAATAAAGTCAGGTCTGAATCCAGATTGAACTGGGTTAGTTTTACTTCTGTAGTTTTACTTCTGTCATCACAGTATAGCATTTTGTTAGAAGTTTCTGTTGTTAATGTATTTTAAGTGGAAATGATGAAAAGAATTTATTTTACCTTTAAGGTGGAGTCGTACTCAACAGTCTTTAATAACTTTGTGGTCTTACCACTGTAAAGTCCAGTTCAGTCATGAGAATGTAGTTTGAAAGCATACTTGTCATCCCTCCCAACTTTTGCCAACTCAGTGCAGTTTTCTCTGTGCGTTGGCACCTTCTGCATGGATCTGACTTCCATCTGTGTTGGACATAAAAAAGGAAAACTTACACATAATGAATTGAAAGGCCACCATTTACAAATGACACTGAATTTTAGTCACTTCCATGCAAACACACTGACACAGAGACAGACAAACTTGTTTGTGATACAAACAAGTGAATCTTGCTAACAGGCTGTCCTAACTTTGGTTCATTCTGGCCTAAAACTAGCATTTAAAATGTTATTGGTCATGTTGTGTAATATTGTAATATTCTGTAATCACAGCACTGCATCTCATTGGTTTGACAGAATTCGTAATTTTTCATTTTGTGTTTATCCATCACTACAATACCCAGCATTCATTCCGCAGATATAGCATACAACCATGGGCATCACCCCCCACACTGATATAAGGTCTAATAAATATAGATGCGCTATTTGTTCCTAGCAAAGCGGTTTAGATGATGTATGTATTTGTTCCTAGCAGTAACGTCAGCTATCCTAGTTTCCTCCTCCATTAGCCAGCTAGCAAAAGTAGTATTTTCCCTCCCGACTTCAAGATACATAACCTGAAGGGTGTTTTGTTGATCATTAAACCAGAATAACTCACCCTTGGCACTACTGTGGCACCACCATAGGAGCTGAATAGGCATGTTTACAGTAGATATAGCAATGGTTACGGTTTCATTTTGGCCAAACTGCTGCTTTATGACACTGTACAGAGCATGGTGGGTGCTCGCTCACAGGTATGTGTATCTCTGACCTCAAAAAGATTTTATTAGGATTTTGAGGGAAGTGATTTAGTGTATTGTGAAATCTCAAATTTGAGTGCAATTCAATTTGACCATTTGGTAAAAGTACTACACCATCTGGCCATTGTTTCAGTCACACCCATTAACAGGTGTGTAAAATCAAGCACTTAGCCATGAAATCTCCACACTGGCAGTAGAACAAGTCATGCTGAAGAGCTCAGTGGCTAAACATGGCACCATTTGCCACCAATCAGTTCTTTAAATTTCTGCCACGTTAGATCTGGCCCAGTCAACTCTAAGTGCTATTATTGTGAAATGGAAGTGCCTAGGAGTAAGAATAGCTCAGCCATAAAGCGGTAGGCCATGCAAACTTAAAGCAGGGCCATCAAGTGCTGAAGCATGTAGCGCATTTAAAAAAAAGTCCTTGCATCGCTCACTACAGAGTTCCAACTACTGGAAGCAGCATCAGCACAAGAACTGTGCATCAGGAACTTCATGAAATGGGTTTCCATGGCTGAGCAGCTGCAGACAAGCCTAAGATCACTATGAGCAATGCCAAGCGTCGGCTGGAGTGGTGTAAGCATGTCACCACTGGACTCTCTGACAGTCTGATGAACAAATCTGGGTTTGGCGGACCTCACAAACTCTGTTTTCACTGAAAAGACACTCCAAAATCTTGCAAAACGTGTTCCTAGAAGAGCGGACGCTGTTAACGCCACAAAGAGGGAGCTCTATATTAATTAACTCCATATTAATGCCCATAATTTTGGAATGGGTTGTCCAACAAGCCCATACAGGTGTGATGATCAGGTGCCCATATACTTTTGGCCATATAGTGCATTTACCTAGTACTAGAATACAGACAAAAACAATTCACAGAGCTGTTTTTAAGTTAGACAACAGCCTGAGAATTTTATTTAGACCAAAAAAATGTATTATTATAATCTATTCTAACCTTCAGGTCAAAGTATTACAATGCATTTTTGCACTAATACTAATTTGGCAGTTCAGAGTGTCTCTTGAGGAGTTAAAGAAAACAATGCGAGTCTCAAAGCCTGCTCTCTTAAGCTAGTAAGATTCTTTGTTACACAATGTACATCTGATCTCTTTATAGAGCAAATATTCTTTTTCGCTCTTTTGAGATCAGAATGTGTCAGTGCATGAATGAGGATACAAAAAAAAAAAGTAACATGAGTAGCTGAAACATCAAATGGGACAGTATTTCATTCTATCTAAATATAGCCTGGCAAGCAGTAATACATGAAGCTGCTCTGTGCTGTTATTTCACCATCTAGAACTATAAACCAAATTCACAGCTCATGAAAATGCACACAGTGATCAGCTCATCACGAAACACACAGATGAAAGTTGTCCCACAATTCTGTAAGGTCACCTAAAGGACAGGGCCTAGTAGACAAAGCATGGAGAGAAGACGGAGAAGAGGAGACAGGACCAGAGAGAGGATAGAGAACACTAGAACACAGTGCAGAGTAAATACCTGAGAGAGAGAGAGAGAGAGAGAGAGAGAGAGAGAGAGAGAGAGAGAGAGAGAGAGAGAGAGGAAAGACAGGATGAGAAATGGACAGTAACATCAGAGATGGGAACTAACCAAGTCATGAAATTTGTACAGGAATTTATAACAGTCCTTTTACAACCCCATTTCCAAAAAAGTTGGGACGCTATGCAAAAGTGTAAATAAAAACAAGATGCAATGATGTGCAAGTCATTTAAACACTATATTTCAATGACAATAATACAAAAACAACATAAAATTGACACAGAAATGTTAGTGTTTTTTGAAAAATATATGCCCATTTTGAATTTGATGCCAACAACACATTCCAAAAAAAGTTGGGACAGAGGCAACAAAAGGCTGGTAAAGTTGTGTAATGTGTCAAAAGTGCAACAGTTCAAGAATAATGTTTAACATAAAACAGCAAAGAACTTTTGCTATTCATCATCTATGGTACAGAACAACATTAAAAAATTCAGAGAATCTGGAGAAATCGCTGTATGCAAGGGACAAGGCCAAAAACAAGTACATGATTCGGTAGTGGGAGTCACTGCATGGGATCAGAAACACTTCTGAAAACCACTGTCTGTGAACACAGTTTGTCGCTGCATCCACAAATACAAGTTAAAACTCTAAAACGCAAAGAAGAAACCGTATATAAACAGGATCCAGAAACGCTGCCATCTTCTCTGGGCCTGAACTCTATGGTGAAGTGGAAAAGTGTCCTGTGGTCCAACAAATTAACATTTGAAATTCTTTTCGGAAATCATGGACGCTGTGTCCTCCAGGCTAAAGACCACTCAGCTTGTTATCAGCGCACAGTTCAAAAGTATTCATGATGGTATAGGGGTGCAGTAGTGCACATGGCATGGGTGATGCGCACATCTGTGAAGGCACCATTAATGCTGAACGAGATGTTTTGCAACATATGGCAACGTCATTTTCAGAGAAGGCCTTGATTATTTCAGCAAGACAATTCTGCATGTATTACAACAGCACAGCTCTGTATTAAGAGAGTCTGGGCGCTAAACTGGCCTGCCTGCGGTCCAGACCTGTCACCACTGAAAACATTTTGTGCATTGTTGCGTGAAAAATATGACAAATGAGACCCCGAACCCTGTTGAGCAGCTGAAATCCAATATCAAACAAGAATGGGAAAACATTTCACTTTCAAACTACAGCGATTGGTCTCCTCAGTTCCCAAACACTTACAGAGGGTTGTTAAAAGAAGAGGTGGTGAAACACAGTGGTAAACATGCCCCCGTCCAAACTTTTTTGGAATGTGTTGTTGGCATCAAATTTAAAATGGGCATATATTTTTCAAAAAACAAAATTTCAGTTTCAACATTTGATATGTTGTCTATGTAGTATCTTAAAAATATGGTTTACATGATTTGCACATCACTGCATCCTATTTTTATTTACATTCTGCACAGCGTCCCAACTTTTTTGGAAATGGGGTTGTAATTAGAGATGGCACAATATCACTTTTTTCCCCTGATAAGATACTAACAATAGTTATTCTAGACTTAATTCTTATCTGGGAAACCAACCCATAAACTATGAAGCACTTCACCTATAAGCATCTAAAAGTAAGCCATCATGGCTACAGGAATTGGCCTGATACCAATACTTTTAATCATAAACAGCCAGTTCTGTGCAAAAGTCAGAGACCACCATTCACTTATTTAATTTCCAGTCAAAAGCCAGAATACAACTCAGCGCTATGCGTCTGACGGGATGTGTAGCTGTCAAGAAGCCCTCAGTGAGAAAAGGAAATAGACAAAAAAGATGAAAATTTGCACTAGAACACCAAAACTGGACATCTGAGATGTGAAGTACGGTGTTATGGACTTCTAGTTTAAATTTGAGAACTTTGGAAGTAATGAAACTCAAAGGAAGGACAGACTCTGAACTATTTCTATAACCTTAAGTCAAACACGGTGGAGGATCAGTGCAAGTTTGGCGATGTACAACATCTGGAGTTGGCGATTTGCTTTGATTGAAGGCATAAATGTTGGTAGGTACAAACATATTTTAATGCATCATGCAATACCCTATGGAAAATGTTTGAATGGGAAGACACTCATGCCTCAGCAAGAGAACAACTCCCAATCACACTGCAGAGAAGATCAAGATGTACTTAAGTAAAGAAGCTGCTGGTGTTCTTAAATCAAAGGACTGGCTAATTCAGAGCCCAGACCTCAACATCAATGAATGTGTTTGTGATTACTTGGATTGCGAGAGGCAGAAAATGCAACCAACTTCTAAGACTGAACTTGGAGGTGCAGAAAAATATCTCTCCAGATTGCTTTGAAAACTGGAAGCAAGCCTTACAAAAAGAATGGAAGCTGTTATGGGTAATGGGTGGACACACTAAATACTGAACATTTGTTACAATTGTATGTGAGTTATTGAGGCTCCCATGTTATTTTCTGTTTAATATACATGTTCTGCTTTTTACCTGAATTACTTGTACTTAATGGCCTTTTTGACTGGAAATTAAATGAATTTAAAAAAAAGGGGATGTTCAGTGCTTTCCTCGTTTTAGGCCTCAGTTTCTCACTCACCATGTGTGAGACCATACTGGAAACTTCCAGGTCCGGGGCTGGTTAGTATGGAGTCTTTGCAGATTTGAGCGTGTCCAGATGTTTTGCTGGCATAAGCCAGCCCAGGGAAGGGTAAAGCATGCAGAGGGACCAAGTTTGTTAAAGCCCCCGACTGTGGTATATTGGGATAGGATGAGGCCTGGAGGGAGAGCGATGGAGTAGGAAGAGCTGGATCCCCACAAGAGCTTTCCACAGCTGCCTGTATAGACACAAGAGACATGGCAGAATCAAAGGATATCAGAAGTGTATTATTTCAATGCAAAAATACAGTAATATTTACAAAACCTATTCATTAAAAAAATAAATAAAATACAAAATAAACAAAATAATAATAATAATAATAATAATAATAGCAGGACAGTTGCCAGTGCCAGGATTATGAAGCAGATGCTAGATGCTACGTTAGGCAGATTAACAAAGTGTTACCTGATCCTGATAACCAATTACATGACAAGTTTAATTCTGAAATTGAACATTTTAGGTTACTTAAAAAAAAAAATATATATTCAAATTAACTTCTTCTGAAACACCTTTGGACAACTTCTAATCTACCTGGCTTGTTTGGTCAACTGGTTAATTATCTTCATAAATCACAAGACATTTGAAGACTTGAGGCCTAGTGTACCCCATTTCTCAAAAGAACACATGTATTACGCAGTTTTTGGGAACACTGAGCAAATGAATAATTAAAAGCCTGAGGTACTGTTACAAATACAATCCTCAAAAAGTAACTAATCTATACATAATCTCATTTTTCAAAAGGTATCCCACTTTTTAAACCGAAGAGCCACCCCCTTCGCAAAAAGCTCTTAAAAATCTAGATGATTTTAGCCTGTATTTACTAAGAGCAAAAACTATTAAAAACTCTCAATTTATATTCATTTACATTGTGTTGTGGTCACTGTTGTCCTCTCAGGTGTGTCAACACCTTCAATTTTAACACGGGTTTTTGAAACATGACATCAGACTGTGATGCAGATTGTTAGACTTCAGGTAAATGCTAATATTCCCACATATTCATAAGCAAATGTGGAAGACCAAGTGTTTTATCCAACTAAACATGCCCTTCACAAATAATATACACTCTTAAATATAGATTCCAAAAAAGGTTCTTCGGAGTGCTGCCAGTTTTCCTGGAGAAATCCTGGCTTTTAGTGGTTTCCCCGCTCTAGCACATCCACTTCAACTCAAGAATTACTTGTTAAATAATTAGGAACCTTCATTTGTATAAGCATGTATAACTTAGCTTGAGCTTATTTAGATTTATTCTAAGATAATTCTTAGATTATTTTTTTCTCTTTAAATTTCTCTACATGAAGGGAAAAAAAGGTACATGGCTGTGTTTTGGCTCACCCAGCCTCTGATTTATATCTAAAAAATGCTTTCATGTACATGCACTCAGACACTCACCACTGCCACAGAAACAGGGGCTTTGCAAAATGAGGTGGTCGTGAGCAGTCTGGCCACGCCCTGCACTGCTGCCGAGTCACCTTCAGCAGCAGCAGGTGGAGCTACCAGCATCAGCTTCTGAGGTTTCTTCTCCCCCGCAGGAAGACGGTTCAAAGTTGCAGCTGCTCCAGAATTGGACGAGATCTTCGGAGATGAATCTGTGCGCAGTGGACCACCCGGGTTGCCCGTCTGGACACTGGAGAGAGCTTTTCCGACTATTTCAAGCTTTCTGTCAGTGGCTTGAAGCCTTCCTAGCGAGGATCTCCCCACTTCTCCTCTCATCTGTTGAAGCTCAGGTAGCGGAGGAGAAAAATAAGACGTTTGTGCATCTAATGAAGCTTTGCTCACAGTGTTCTGGGGGGCTTGTTGGGTGCTCAGAGGCAGACTGAGGCGCTTGCGCTGGGCAGCAGCACCTCCTGGTGGCCCCTTCAGGGCTGGCACTGGTTGGACCTCCCCAGCATTTTCAGAGAGAAAACTGGCCTGTTGATTAGATGAGAACAAATAAAAAGGTAGGCACCAGTATAATGTCAAAACAAAGGTTAGATATCATTTTGAAACTAACCTTTTTGGATTTTGGCATGGTCATTGATTTCTTTCTTGCCCTGTACAATGAAAATTAATTGGCATCATTTAATTATTTTAAAAAGCAGCATCCATGGCTTTTGCAAATTCATAATCATACTTACACCACACCAGTGATATGGCCATGTACTCTACGGCTCTCAATAAGTAGGATCCTGTGGTGACAAATGTGTTAGAAAAACACCTGATTAAGACTGAAATGCAGAGGAAATTTTAACACTGCCAGCATTATAGTGACCCCTAGTGGTTATTAAGACGTTTATATGTGAAGTAAATAAATTTAAAATACAAGAGTTTATTAAATAAATAATAATAAAACAGCTAAAATGGGTTGTGATGCCACAGAAGCACACATTAGGTTCTCTTTCAATGGTTCCATTATAGTAAATGAGATGTGTGAGTGCAATGTTTAAAGAACCTCCACATGTGAACCTTCTTGGTTCAAATGGTTTTTAGTGTAGGGGCTCTCAAGCCAGTCCTCAGGGACCCCCAGGAAGGTCCAACCCAACTTGTGGTGCATAGGGAGAGCAAAAATGTGGACCACCTGTCCCTGAGGACTTTTCAGAACCACTGCCCCCCCCACCCCACCCTGCTTAGGGCTCACAAGCGTCCACGTTGCAAATCATTAAAAGGAATAAAACATTACCTGGACTGCATCCAGCCTTTAGGCCACATTGGTTTTACATAATCCTCCAAAAAAGTTCTCAAGTACTCTTCCAAGCTTGGGCTGTCAGGAGCTTCAAGCTCGTAGCAATTCATCTTCAGCTTCACAAGCTCAGACAGCAATAGTCTGAAAGCACACACATATTATAATATTTAATAATGAATATACAGCCTGGTTTGGCACAACTGTGTTCTGACATAAAACTCAAACTGAACATCTTATTTATTACGCAGCAGCATTTGTACTTGCAGCATTGTATCCTTGAACCTTTGTAGCTTGACAGAACTCATGAATTTGTATTGTTTGCCCATCAATGTTCTCTCACTACAATACCCAACATGCCTTATGCAAATATATTGTACAGCCATTGGGAATCCCTGCAACACTCATCCAATCCTGACTGCTAGCCTAGCCACTGAGCTATAGGCTAATAAACACAAACAAGCCAGCTTTAGGGCAACTCTTACCACAGTTGTTGAACAAAACTGAAAAGAATACAGCAATTCTGCCTTTATTTGTTACAACATGGACACCGGAGGCATGTAATTCATCCTTTTAGCTGGAGAAAAAGAGCTAAACTGAGGTAAGGTTTATAGATAGCCAGCAGCCTTTAGCTTTTAGCCCCCTGCTAGAAAAACCTGCATAGACCAGCATATGTTGTGTTTTGGATGCTGATATGCTGGTCAGCCAGTATGACCATGTTGGGTGACCAGCTAAACCAGCACTAGACCAGCATGGAATGACTGGAAAACAAAAAGTTGCCACAGCTGGCTGTAGAGTGATATATTCTTGCTAGCAGTAATATTAGCTGTGCGCCTTCCTTCTGCATTCACCAACTAATGGGGGGTAAGCCAGCCAGTCCAAGAATCCACCCCAGTGCAGCTGTATTTTTTTAAGTTAATGTAATATAAGTAGGAAAATGTAAGTTTTCCTAGTCATTAAACCAGTAAACTACTGCAGCACTGCTGTAATATGTGCATAGGCATGCTTACAACACAACATGTAGCAATGGTTAACCTGATCTCTTCAGTCCATTTGAATCTCTTGCGTGGTCCAAAAACTCGTTTTCCACTTTTATCCTCCTCTTCTTCATCAGACCCATCTATTGCTCTCTGTTCTTTCTCAGCCTCCAGTCTGGAAAAAACAGACCAAAACCATATTTATTCAGACCAAGTGAAAAAGTATAAAGGCTATTCATGTTGGACTGACACAATGAAACCAGCATGTTTCTTTGCTATTGGATAAAAAGTCATTTTTTGTGGGTGGTACACTGGCCAATACAAATAATATGTTTTGATATTGATGATAATATAAAGCAGGCAGCATACTTGGCAGCTCTGGCTTCAGAGTGAGCTTGGCAGTTGTCATTGAAACGGTCAATCTGCTCTGGCATGGCTCTGGTGACTGCATCTTCCAGTCTCTGTAGCAGATCTCTTAGCTCATCACCCTGACGAGGGATGGAGCACACATGGATTCATACTGTGAATAGTATGATTTACTAAGCATAACAATTCAAGTATTAAGAAAAAAAAAAATACAAGTCACTCTATTTGAGAGCTACATTAAGAGTGACAAACTAACCAACATCAGAGGTGAAAATCCTACAGAGAGGCTATACTTAAGTGAACATATGAGCAGAGTGTAAACATCTTACTCAGTTAAAAGTGGAGCCAAAACTATACTTTTTTAAATGTAACATTAAATGAACTTTAATGCTGAGTATGAGCTGACTTTTTTTACACTGATATTAATCTGATTTTCTAAAATTACAATAAATTTTGATTGGCAAGAAAAAGAATCTCATGGCCTTTGAGACTAATAATGAGTACTTTGTAGGTCTAAATGAAATGTAAGGAGTAAAAAGTGTGCTTTTGCCTTAAAAATGTATTTGAATAAAATTCAACCTGAATAATACTTTACTCAAGTACAAAAAGTACAACAGCATTTTCCCTCCCTGGCATGTGCATAATCGCTGCTGTCGGAAGAAAACCTCGTATCTCCATTTTTGACGTTTTTCAGTTTTTGACATAATTTGAAAATACCTGTTGACCTTTACATTGTATGTAAGTTTCATGATGAATAGACTAAAAGAAATGACCTAAAATGACTTGGAAAAAAACCTGGTTCCATTGACTTACATTAAAAGTACAGTACAGTTTTTTCCTTCTCTCGTAAAGTTATTTTGGAGATACGAGGTTTTCTTCTGACAATAGCAATATTCTTAAAGTTTAGCTAACACTTTACTTTCCCAACTCTCCACAAAAGACTCTGTATTGTTTAAGTGGTTGGTTCTTCAAGGGTTCTTAGTAAAAAAAATAAAAAAAAATATAAAAAATGGTCTATATAGAACTTTGAACACTCAAAGAACACTTTTCATGATTAAATGGTTCTTTGCATCATGAAAGCGTTCTTCAGATTGATTGAGAATGCGCTGTAGATGGTTATGTATAGAAACATTTTGAAAGGGGTCCTTCTATACAATGTCAAGCTTGTAACAACAGAAGAACCCTTTTTGATGCTATAGAGAACCCTTTTCAAAAAGCTTCTATGTAGAACCATCTACAACATATCGCTGCTGTAGGAACAAAACCTCTCAAAAATCTCCATTTTTGTCTCATTTTGGAGATACGAGGTTTTGTTCTGACAGCAGCGATATTCCCCACCAATCTGTAGAAGAAACCATTTAATGATGCAAAGAACCTTTTAGGCATGCAAAGGATTCTTTGAGTGTTTGTGGTTCTACATAGAACCCATTTCTTTACTAAAGAACCCTTCAAGAATCATTATTTTTAAGAGGGTGACTATGTTTGCTGGCCAAATGCTAAACACAAATGTATTAAAAGAACAAAAACTGCAACAAAAAGCTTCCATTTCCAACAGCTTATGCAGCAATTAACAAGCAGTACATGTTATATTATATTCTATTAATCATACAGGGGAAATCTGTCATTTTGTTGCTTAAATATGCCCAGTCTGGGGCAGCACAAAGCCAGCAGAGCAGCGCTGCCATCAACGTTCTCTCACTACAACACTCAGCATGCCTTATGCAAATACATACGCACAGCCATTTGGAATCCCTGCATTGCTCATCCAATCCAGACTGCTATCCACTGAGCTCCAGGCTAATAACCACTACCAAGCTGGCATTAGTGTAACTCTTACACATTCAAACAAAACTGAAAATAAAACAATTCAGAGCAGTGCAGCACCACATTAGGCAGCGTTTGTGTGTATGTGTATGGGGGTTAAAGCCCCAAGGAACCTAAATCTGTGTTTTCTTTCTAAGTAGGTTAGTCTTGCTCTTGCAAGCACACAAACATGTAGGATAATCTTCCTCCTGGCACACAAAGTGTATAAGGTACATCCTGTGAATATCCAGTAAACTGCAGACATATTTCACAAAATACTTTTTGATGTGTACTGGCCAGTCCTAAACTTGGGTAAAGCTTACATAAGCAGTATCATCACCAATCACAAGGCTGATGTTGGCTGCCCCACCCATAGCATCTCTGAGTCAGAGAAACCTAACAACCAAGCGAAAGCTAACCTGGCAAATATAACTGAACAATAAAGTATTTCTGTTGTTCGATGTAGCACTTTAGACCAGGCCCAGACAGTTCTAACACAGGTGTGATCAGCCATTTATAAGCCATGTTTTATGATGTTTTTCATGTTTTCGTCATTCAAACCGAGTTGTTTTATCCACATCCAGCAATTTTCATACCATAAAATATTTTTAGTATTTCACATGCTGTTCGCTGAGACCCCCTGGGCCAAGGGCATAACCAAAACACCAAGCCAGTGCTGGGACTTAAACCCACAACCTTCTAACTGCTTTGAGCAGCATAGCATAGAAACACAAATTCGAAAAAATTCACAAGGCACTGAAAAACCTTGGGATGGTTCTGGTTAGATGATTATTTGTTTTTTCCTAAATTGTAATCAAGAAATTGCTCTCACATCTGAATGGTGGCTTGCACAATATCCAAAAAAACACCAAGGCAGAAGTTAGCGGGACGCAGGATTTGTATCCGAAGCAAGGAGTACGCAACACTATTTTCCATTTACTTCAGGTTCATTTGTCATAATGCAACAAGCTTTTTGATTTTTACTACACTAGATTTCTGATTCAGTACTTCCACTTTTAACACAATACCCATACTTTTACTTAAGTACAGATTCTCTGGACTTCAACACCAACCTAAATCAGGGGCCCAACCAATCAGAAATAATACTTATTTCTACACAAGTCACTTCACGGTGCAAGTACTTCACGGAGAGCACTATAGAGTATGAAGCTCGTATGAGAGTTTTGAATCTGGCCTAGATTGTTTTGGTATCTTTTTTTTTTTAAAGATACTAACCAGATGAAGAAGATGGAGTTTCTTGGCTCGCTTAAGCAGAGTACCTTTCTTGCAGGAAAGGTGCGATGCCAGGTAGGAAAAGATTCTGGAACGTACCTTATCAGACAACTCCTTAGACCTAACCGCCACACTAAAATAGCCAGACACACAAACAAAAAGACAATGGACGATGGTCAGTTGAAAGATGTAAAAAGATTCCTTAAAAAAAAAAACTGATCTTCTAAAAATGAAACTGATCTTTGTTGCTTAAAATTTACTTGGAAACTGAACGGCTACCTTCTCTACAACAAGTATCCTGTTTATGACTTACTGTAGCAAAACACTGTTTATTTCCGGAGCAAAAAGCTCCATCTTGTTCTCTCCTTCCATGTCTTTGATTGCCTAAAAGAGCAAGTTTTATAGAGAGAGACATCATGAATTATCCATTAGAGGAGAGTATTACAACAGGTAGGTTTTAAAAGGACATCATTTTTCAAAATTTGCTGCAAAATTAAAAGGTTAAGATCTAAATAATGTCATTCGGAGTGGTTTGGTGTGAAATGCTCTGTTCTACAGAAACTGACTGTCAGAACTGTTCACAGTGGTGGTAACTAAAACTAGATGTCTGAAGTGTTGAACGCCTCTAAAATCTACCTCACAAGGAAGGGTATTGTAATGCAAAGTAGTCAATTTTATGACTATTTTATCATTAAAAACTTGTGTGTAGGTTCATTGGTGGTTTTGGATAGTAAATAAAATGGCTATATTAGTGTTGTATACATGGTGACCCCACCACTGGAAAGAAATCAAAAGTTGGCAACTCAACCACTCAATGACTTTGTTTACATCTCAAAAACTAAATTACGCAGAAATGTGAAAAAAGATGGTAAAACCTTTCATTTTGTGAGAAAGCAGTACCTGAGTGAGTTCTTGGATGTACAGCTCTAACATCGGGGGTAATCCATCAGGAAGTGAAACAGGAGGCTTCGCTGGCTGGCATACAACTGTGGGTTCTTGGTTCTCCTCCACGTCAGGAGAACCAGTGTCCTGGTCCTCAGTCAGGAGCCCATCAAGGTCAAAGTCCTGATCTGCGGCCTTCACCGCTTGGAGGAGGTCGTCTGCGCTCGCTGAACCGATTAGCGTCAAGAGTGGATCAGCTGAGGCGGATTCTTCCGGGACCTCCGCTTGGCTGGTGGAGCCGCTGTCAGCTGAAGTGACTCCCTCCTTCCCTTTCTCGTTGAACATGTGCAGCTGCTGAAGCTTCTCCTTATGAAATTTTCTTAGCATGCCATCGATGCTGAGTGGCTTGCCACTCTTCTTTTTCTTTTTCTTCTCTCCAGGCGGCATGGTAGGCAGAGCACTGTAGAAAAGGACAAAATCATGCATCATGGAACGTTTCATTCGAAAACAGTTCCTTAAATATCTTGAGGTACTTCTTTGGTGTACTTATGTAAACCATTGTGACAACAGCTTGTGTAATTTGTAAGGGAAAAAAAATTCCAGCTGTACTGTAATGCAATCAGCAAAGCTTTAGAGCACCAGAAAACCTTTTTTTTGCATCATCTCTCTCAGGCAGCACAGTCTCTTGTCTCTTCTTCTTGTTGTTGATCATCTTCTCCTCCCTTCCTTCTTTGAGTTTTCTTTTCTGCAAGACGGATGAAAAAAAAACAAACATTCACACAGGACTTTTCATGCACAAAATCAATACAGATAAAAAAAATTAAAGCACAGTAACAGTTAAATACGGACGCATTAGACAGCATTTTAAAAGGAACCACGTATATATGAAAGGAAGGCAAAATTCAGAGTCATATTTAAAATCTGTAAAAGTGCTCATTCAAGGTGTCTGATAAATGTCTTATGGGAGGAGTTCAGTACCTTCAGGCAGATGCGTTGTCATTAACTGCTTTAAAAAACCAGTAAAAGCCATTTAAAGTTTAAGAATAACAGAAATCCAGTGAAGAACTACCAGAACAGGAAATCTTTATTATTTAAGAAAAACGGTTCACTAGCCAGTCAGGGACAATGGTATAATTTGGTACCACTGTTACACATAATAGGCATCCACATGGCTATGGAGGTTTATTTCATGTACACTGAAGATATGGATCAGCGGCAACAGAAAATGAGTATAGACCAAGTATAGACCCTTGGGTAACACCACAGTGAAAAGAATGCAGGAGTATCCTATATTTATGGTCTCAAAACTATATCTAGTAAAACAAGAACTGAAAAGATTTGTGAATGATTTAAGACTTTTCAGTTGTTGAAAATAGTTATCTACGCTGCAAAAAAAGGTGTCTTGTCAAGTAAAAGTAACTTAGATCTAGTCAATAAATCTAAGATTTCACCTGTTGAGATTGCTCTAAGCTTATTTTAAACTTAGTTAACTTATTTCTAAACATTTATTACTTGTTAAGTAATTTTATTAATAAAATTCCTCACTATATTGGCAGATAATTTTGCTAGTTTTAAGAAATGTGCGTGAACCAGCAAAGTTATCTGCCAGTATAGTGAGCCAAATTTTCTTGATGAAATTACTTAAAACAGGTAAAAGTGTCTAGATAAGATGGATAGTCTTATAATAAGTACACAGCCATCTCAAAATAAGAAATATTCGATGGATCAACTAGAATTAACAATTTCACTTAACAAGACACTACTATTTATGATAGTCCTAAAAATATTCTTGAAGAAATGCAACATTACATAGAGGCAGTGCAGATCTCAAACATGTTTTAAAATGTTCCTAATACAGCTGTTCTCCATACTCACTGTATTTTCACTTTTGAGAAACTATGTTCTTCAAAAGATTGGAATTTGGATGGGGTAACGATCCTCAAGCCTTTGTTTGTTTAGCAATAACATTAACGTAGGTTAATAGTTAAGCCTACATAACTGATTAAACCCAGACTATGATTATTAGTTAGCCCAATCCATTACTGCATAGCTTTAAAGTTTAACCTTTTAAACTCCTTGAACCCCCGATATTTTGTCATATTCTTCATAACTTTCATATTTCATAAGCGACATTCAAAAGGTGGGTGTCGTATGAGAGCTATAACTTTCTTCTTTCCAGTCAAATAGGTGTGTAATGTAATTTTTAAACTTTATAATAAAAGCAAATATAAAATTTTACATTTATTTCATGAAGTTACTGAATAATTTGCCTTACGATTTGGTCATGTGAATTGAAATGAAAAAACCTAAATATACCCACGAGCATAGCGTAAGAAAATTAGACAGAGGTTAAGAGAACTACATTTTGAGATGTTCTCTGACAATAACTCAGAAAAGGCAGCATGAATAAGGTGCATAGCTGAACAGTAACTTGGAGATATTTGAATATCTAAGCCGCAAAATGTTAAATTTTTTTAAGGATAAACTTCAATCTACTTGAGAACTGTTCCAAAACTGCACAGGAACGTTTACACACCTTGGGTTTAACATCCTCCTCAAAGTCATCCGTCTCATTTTCTTCACCTTCATCCGAAGCCTGGCGGAACTGTAGCGTCCCAGAGTTTATGTAAAAGCCCCCATGCTTGGTGGTAAGTGAGGCTGGAACCAGCTCATCATACTTTGACAAAAGGTGTAAATAAAGAGAAAATAGAAAAGACAACTCAACAGAGGTTCTGTAAACCTGTTCACACTGCAAGAACGAGCTCAAGGTTCTCTCAAAGGTGCACTGCAGATGGCTGTTTTTTTTTTTAGGTCTTAGTGAACTAGAAAACCTACCATCAAAGAAAATAATTTTAGGAAAATAATACCAGTCAAGTCATTTAATAACTTAGCATATCATCACTGTCTGAACAAAACTATCTCTGGTAACTTGACAGAAGAAGAAGAACACATTCTGAACTTTCAATGGACTTCAGGTAATGACATTTTGTGGGCCATTTCTATTGCTCCATTCATTAGGAGATTGACACAATAAAGGAAACGAAAAAAATATGTAAAATGGCATCAGAATGACAAAAATGGAGATATGGATTTGTTACAAGAGTGACAGTATGCAAAAAACATCAAGAGAATACAGTCATGTGTACCATTAACGTCTTTTACTCTAATTGTATAAAAAACTTAAATCACCCAATTACTCCATAAGTTTCATAAACTATAAAAAAAAAAAAATAACAGACACACTGCTGAAACTCACAGCCTCAGAGTTGTCAATAAAGGAGTCCGTTTCATCATATCCATAGCCCATGTCCACCAAATCTTGCAATCTGTCTTGCCGGCGTTTAGGAGCTCCACCCTAGAAAAGAAGAGCAGTCAATCATGATTATTTTTACATGTTACAATCTGCTTTTTCAAGCATTATCAAATGGCATCAGCCTTATTCTTCAGGATAACTGACAATTGCCCTTAGAACCCTGGGTTTGGGAAGGAGTGATGGGCTTATCGCTACTGCTCTGAAGGCACCTTGACTCACATATTTCTCTTCAAACTTTCTTGCCAAGGCCTCCAGCTCCTCCCTCTCCTCATCCTCAACCACCTCATCCAAAGTCCTGAGATCACTTTCAGCTGTGACCTTGAAAAAAAAAAGAAAGAAAGGAGAATGTTTGAATGTTCAGCAGGGTGGTGATTCCTAGACGTGCTTGATGGTTTCCTAATGGGATCTAGGTGTTCTAAGGTGTTCTACATGGTAACTATAAAGCCAATTCCTGTTAGGAAGCCGAAACATTCTAATGGTTCTAGTCTTTTTTCAGCAGGGTGGTGATACCTAGGCACGCTTGCTGGTTTCCTAATGGGATGTAGATGTTCTAAGGTGTTCTACATGGTAACCATAAAGCCAATTCCCATTATGAAGTCAAAGTATTCCAATAGTTCTAATGTTTTTTTTTTTTTTTCCAGCAGGATTGTGATTCCTGGGCACACTTATTGGTTTCCTGATGAGATTTAACTGTTCTAGGGTGTTCTACATGGTAACCATGAACCCAATTCTGCTTAGCAAGCCAAACCATTCAAATGGTTCTAGTCCTTTTTCAGCAGGGTGATGACTCCTAGACACGCTTGCTGGTTTCCTAATGTGATCCAGACGTTCTAAGATGTTCTACATGTCTTCTGGTTCTAATAGTGTTTCTATCAGCAGGGTTTTACCTTCACGTTGAGCAGTTCAGGGTAGTAGAACTCAGGGCAGCGTCGTTCATCAGGCTCGAAGAGAAGCAGCTCGATTCTTGCTGAGGCTGTGGTTTTCTCAGAGGCCGGCAGGTCCTCATCGGAGGGGCAAGCTGCGCCCGAACCCAGTTTGGTGGCCAACTCTTGAGCGGCATGGCTATTGGAGATCGGAGGGTGAGTGAGCTCGCTTGAGACAGTAGTGAGTTGGATCCTTCGCGGCGCGGCCATTGCGCACAATTGCGCCAGTCCTCCTCGCTCCTGCACGCACAGGTGCGCCCAATTAAGCACTTAAGTTACTGGGAAGCCAATAGAAAGCAGCCAAGGTGTCGTGTGGAGGAAGTTAGACTGAGGCATTGTTTTCGCATCGTTTTCAAGACCTGCAGAAAGCAAACAGAGCTGACCAGTAAAGAAAAAGGCCTGGCCTTCAGTGCGCGCCTCCTTGGCAGGCTACCTCATCAGATCGCTGCTTTTTCGGCCATCTCCTGCACGGCATCGCTAGAAAAGCCTGCGATAGTACGTTTCGTACATCTGACCAGCGCGATTCACGGCCTTGTTTTTCAACAGCACAGCGCAGCAGCCACTCGGTGAATCTGAGCAGCAGCCATCGCTACGTCCGTGTGCAGATCCTCAGCATCAGCGGGCTGGATTCAGCTGCTTTTCTCAGCGCCATGCGAGGTGAGAGGCCGATCTCCAGCGGGGGGCATCGACTCGATCATACCGTAGCGATCGCATCATAGCAGAGCGGGGCTTTGAGACGAGCAGCTGAGAGCAGCATCAGAATTCCACAACAGCAGCAGAGCACGCAGCATTCCCCAAAGCTTCATTGGATGGGGTCCTGCCAGCCCCCCACGTCGTCATCAGCCTGCGCCCTGTATGTGTTTCTTGAGAACAGGCTGCTGAAAAAAAGGACATCCATCTGGATTAAAACCTGATTCCTTTCCTTTCCAGTGGGAATTGGCTCACTGGTTATTATCAGAGATCACTAGTTTCCTGCAGGATGCCAGATCAGTCCCATTTAGATCCTTTACACTGTGATATCAACCCATCAGGGCAAAAAATAGCATTAGTGAACACCAGACACCCAGCAGACACTTTCAATAGTTTAAAAGAGAAAATATGGTTCACCCTCATCTTCTCCGTCCCATCTCTGATAGCCCTGCTGAAAAAAGAACCATTAGGATTAAAACCTAATGTGCTTGCTTTCCAATGGGATACCATCAGTGACCACTAGTTTCCTGTAGAACACATTTGGATCCCAATAAGAAACCATCAAATGCATCTGGAATCAGTACAATTAAGATCCTTTACACTGTGATATCAACCCATACGGACAACAAAAAAGAGCATTAGTGGCTACCCACACAGCGAGCGTATTAGTCCGCTGGCTTCATAAGGTCAGCTCCCCGTTGACCACCCAGATTGCTGTCCTGCATTCAAGCTCTACCTACCCTAATAGCAAGAAGATAGGGGGCCACTGATGGCAAAGCTGGTAGTCCACTGGCGTTTTGCTCAGCGTTTTCCGGGCGGCCCACCAGTGGTTAAGCAGACTAATAAACAAAATTCCACTTTTCATTGCTCATTTTCCACTCACAGTCCAATTTACTCATTTTCCCTTCCCTACTTTTTTAGTTATCCATCGTAAATTAGTTAGCACAATGTCAGCGACAACATTTTCTATAAAATCGTTCTACATGAGGCCTAGTCTTTACATTTTTTTTTTCCTCTCAGTTGTTTGTAATGTTTGTCTAAGTTTATTTTCTACAATAAAAGTCTCTGTGCATTTAAAATCTGTTTAAGGAGATTAACAACTAGTTGAGCAAAACGCCAGTGGACCGCCAGCTTTGCCATCAGTGGGCCAACTGTCGCCCACTAATATTTCAGCCTTCTAAATTACTTATCATTAATAATCAATGTTCACAGAGTAGCCATCAATGCAGCAATGCTGGGAAAAACCTGCTGATTGTAACATCATTCTGCAAGCATTTCTTGACCATGTTAGGCTTGAAATAATTGGGGCTTGATAACCGTTACAGTAAGGCTCTTTGTAGCTGAAGGCGCTGTCCATGGTCCTGAAAGTGCACTGTATTCCCAAAAGTATTCAGACTACCCCTCTATTGAGTGAATTATTGAGCTACTATAAAGTGCACCGATTGCTGACACAGGCGTTCATTTGTGCACACAGTCTGTATAATCTTCATAAAAAGCTTTGCCAATGAGCTTTAGATCACCATGCCCAGTGCCAAGGGGTATAAAGCCCCCAGCACTGGGCTGTGGAGCAGTGGAACTGTGCTCTCTGGAGTAATGGAGCTCCATCCAGTACCTTTGGGATTGGTTTGTATATATATATATATGTGTGTGTGTGTGTGTGTGTGTGTGTGTGTGTGAATGTATGTACATGTACATTCCTTTAATGAATTGAATACAATGATGCTGATAAAGTGCGAGGAGTCTGGGAGGAGGACCATGCCTGAAGCTCCTCCTCCTACCAATCTCAGTTTTACTTCCATTCATCTACACTGTCAGAAAAATGGTACTGTTCAGATAAAGATACAAACAAAGTAAATGTATCCTCAGAGGTACAACATGGTCCTTAAGGCCCAATTGTGTACCTTGAATGAATTTTAAAGGTCCTCTTCATTTACTTTTCATCTTTTTAGATTAATACAATGCATGGAGATAAAAATATAACTGCAACAGAATGTGGTACTACTATGTTCCCTAACTAAAGGAACTGAAGACAGACGTTTGAGAGTATTTGTACCCTGAGAGTGCAGCTTAAAGCAGAAGCGGCCCAGAACTTTTTAGAAGTTCTCAGCTTTCTCCCCGTTCTTCCAGTCATGCAGTCTGTTCTCACACAATAACCATATCGCTGCTGTCGGAACAAAACCTTTTATCTCCATTTTTGTCAATTTTCAGTTTTTGGCATAATTTGAAAATGCCTGTTATCCTGTACATTGTGTGTAAATTTTATGATGAATGGACCAAACGTGGAAACGGCCCAAAATTACTTTTTCCATTGACTCACATTAAAAGTAAAGTAGTTTTTTTCCTTCTCCTTTAATTTACCATTTTGGAGATACAAGGTTTTGTTCCGACAACAATGTTAAGTTGAAGATGTGTTCCGAACTAGAGTCAGATACAATTAGTGCATTCATATATATATATATATATATATATATATATATATATATATATATATATATATATATATATATGTCTGTTTTATTAAGATAATTATTTGTAATGTAAATTGTAATGAACATTTTGATTACTCTTCTCCTCTTCATCATCTTCCTCATGCTCATCCAACCAAATGGAGATAAGACCAAAGCAATGTGGAAACAACTTCTTAGAAGCTATATATGAATTTTAAAATGTGAAAATTTGGCCAAGCTGTCCAAGGTTTCATCATCATCATAATCATCATCATCATCACCATCACCATCATCCACCAACATGGAGATAAGATCAAAGTAATCTAAGGACAACCTCTATTACAGATAATGCCTTTAATAAAACTTACAACTAGCACAATATAAATCACTCATTAACACTAATTAAAACATCCATTACAAGATGACAGTCAGCTTCACATTTGGTTATTAGAGGACAGCTAAATTACAACTCATTTCCAATGCCTGCTATGTGTCAGCAGAGGGCAGCAGAGTCCATAGAACCAGAGAGGATATTAACAAATGCCTCAAACTGAACAGAAGCTTGAGAGGCATGAGAAATATGAGAATTGTGTAGCCACATCCATGATCATTCTATAAAATATATGAAAAATGAGGTAATACTGATTGCATGAGTACACATGTTCTGAGACAGGAGGCACAGTGAACTGAAAGAAGCACAGACCACCACTTTTCAACACCTTTATGGGCATTATTGCTTTATTTTTTGGTGAAGGAACCATCATTATGTTCGGTGCAGCAACTGTACAAGAATGTAAGCAGCCTACGCACTTAAATGTAGTTGCTGACCTGAATAAACAGCAAAAGTTGTGTGTTGTTACAAAGCTAGAACGTAATAAATGCCCAGTGATTAAAAAAAATTATGTTTATTACCTTTTAACGAATATACAGTAGACAAGCGATGGCACTCTTAACGGAAGCCTATAGGAGTTCAGAGAGAAGTCCACAGCCCAGCGCGCACAGATGAGCTGTTAGGAATTACGTAAAAGGAAAATGATTCATAAAATTTAGCCTCAGTAAATCTGAAGGGGATCACTGGATGGGAGAATTAACGCTGCAGTTCTGGGACAGGCGGTTGGGAATTAGAGTTACAATGTGAGAACAGTTCAGTATAATAGGTTTTATGTCTGCAGGTGGACGCTGTCAGGCTTTATCTGGGTTCTGTTATAATGAGTTACATATGGAATGTGCTTAGAGACATTAGAGTCAAAGCCGGCTGGTTAATCTGCCAGATGGCAGCACCTGATTCACCATCACTGCCTGCCTCTTTCTATTTTGACTTGTAGGGAAGATATGAGAACACACACACACACACACACACACACACACACACATGGTCACGGCTGTAAATGTCCATCATTTCTACCGTAAATGTAAGTAATTTCCTGTTGTTCAGCTCAATGTACATTCTTAAAAAAGATGGTTCGTCAATGGTTCTTTAGTAAAAACATTAAGTTCATGCTTGAATGGTTCTTTGTATGGTTAAATGGTTCTTTAGACTGAGAATGTGTTCTGCTAATGTTACAATGTCAAGCTTGCTTTTCTGAAAGGTTCTATATAGAACCATATACAACACATTCTCTGATCTGAAGAATCAGACAAAGACTATGCATTCACCATGCAAAGAACTTTTTAAGCATGAAATGGTTCTACATACCATTGTCTTTACTTAAGAACCATTGAAGAACCATCTTTTTTAAGAGTATACCCTTAATTATAGACATATATAGAACCATTAACACTCAGTGGTAAAGTACATCGATGGTTCTTTGCTTGGTTAAATGGTTCTTCTCTGAGATGGAAAATGTGTTGTATATGGTTCTGATTTGATAATGATTCAATATAGCACCAAAAAGGATTCTGCTATTGTTAAAGGCAGAAGCTTTTTTGTACTATGTAGAGTCTTCATATGGAACCATTTTTGCCAAGAGTGCACCCTTAGGTTCTTTAGTAAAGGCAAAGGTTATACATTGAACAGTGAACAGTGTAGTCTTTTAAAATAAACATTCCTGAATGGTTCTTAGCTTGGATGCATGATCTAGTACTTTTTGCTTTATGAGTGGGTTCTTTAAACTCTAGAAAGTCACATGTGTCATTTTGAAGTTATTATTATTATTATTATTATTATTAATGTTAATAATAATAATAATAATAATGATAATGACACTAAAAATTATGCAACTTTTAATTGTTATTATTATTAAAACACAAATTATTTTTCTATTTACTTAATATTAGAAGTTAGATTAACTCAATTTTCAAGTTAACCAGTTCACTTATTTTTTAAGCTTGAAAGCTACACTTTTTAAAAATAAATGTTATAATGATAATATAATAATAGTAATAATAATAATAATAATAATAATATTGCATGCAATTCAATAAATTTAATAAAATGCAATTGAATAGCTTTTTACAATGAGCAAGGCAAATAAAAGCCACCAGAGAAGAAAGAGAAAACCATGGTTCTTTAGGAAACCAAAAGTGGTTCTCCTATGGTTCTCCAAAGAACCCTGGACTTTTGATTTTGTACTATTGGTTATGTTTGCCTTAATTACTCATTGTGAAGTTCTGAGTTTGAGCTTGA